CAGCACGGCGCATTCGGAAAGAGTGCTCAGGTTACTCGGCTTATTCTTAAGTTGTTGTTCTCGCTGCAAATGTTGGGATTTAGTTGAGCCTGTTGTCTACCTCAATCCTAATTTGAAAACGAACCCTTCATTAGTTTTTTTTCTATGCGGGACCCATAGGCCCATGGGGTTGTAATATGATTTTTATACGTTGGGATCCTTCCGTATCTTGAACAAATAACTTCTCAGGCTTGCCAACTCCACCGCCGGCTCCACCCGTGAAAGATTCGGAGCTGGCCCCGACAAAGACCAGCAACCCAGGAAAGAGGCTCGCCTGCCGATGTGGTCAAAACACAGTTGCTTTGGGAGATAGTTCGGGCAATAGTGGGCAATCTGGAATCGGGTGATTACAATTTGATTCATACTTTGTGGTAGGATTCAGGGTTGGATCTCAATGCCTCTCATTAAGTCTCTTTTCCCTCCATGTGCTATGACATGCAGGCAGCTACCGTCGCAGCAGTGGTCAAGTTTGAGGACTTCCGGGACTACGCTTCGTCTCAATACACTGTTACCATATCACGTGCCCAACAACTGGCCTTGTCAAAGGCTGTTGGTGCAGTGCCAATACCGTCCAAACAATTAGAGCTAGCAAATCGCAAGAGAGAGAACGAGCCAAGAGCGCAACATGTCTTTTAATGTGTTTTTTTCGAGACAGTGCCTTTCCTTCCCAGAGTTGTTGCTAGTTGGATTTCCCATCTGTGGTATACATAGCTAAGGCAATACGTCTTGGAACAGCGAATTGCGCTGCAGGATGGATGGAATGTGGAGTTGAGGAGGAGAACCGCTGGGAAGCATGCTGGTGACATCTACCAAGTCTATGTCAGCCCTCAGGGCCGACAGAAATATACCTTGAATCTTGGTCTATGTTGTGTGTGGTATGGGATATGCCTTTCTGCAGAACATTTTGTATGAACGACACACCTTTACGTAACCAAAAGTTTCCTTTGAACTTGGTTCTCTTGATACACGGAATCCAGCAGGCTGAGGAAAGATGCTGCCAGTGAGGGCTTTTTAGATCCACAGGGTCTGGTCAAAGCTGCGAAAGCCAAGTTGCTAGGTGAATTTTTACGTGTCACGTTGTGACATGAGTATTCGTGATTTTCATCAACTTCCCTGTTCTTTGTGGTTTGTCTCCGCTCCCAGGCTGCCAAAGAAAAAGATCGACGCAAAGGAGTCCATGAACAAAGAGCCGTTGCAGCATAAGAAGTCTAAGGTCAAGAAGCCCGCTGCAAAGGGTAGGGGCGCGCGTAAGTAGTCAAAGTGTTCACATGCTGGATCACAAATGAGAGTCAACATACTAGCCACACAAAAAAAACAAACTACAATTCATTTTGTTTTTAAACTGTGTGTCCAGCAGCTGGGTGAGTCAGGGATTACCATTTTCCCTGCTTTTGGGGTGGTTCATGATGTGGTGCATCGGGTGGCCCGTTCTATCTTGATATATGATTAGTCTAAGTCATGTTTCAACTCTTCGTGTTTGAAGTGCAAGAGTTCTCATGCTGTAGTTTGTTTGCATGGTCATCCGACTGCCGCTGCATCGCATGAAAGACTAGCCTTTTAGAACCGATATAGGCAAACATGCTGCCATGACACAGGGGCCTAAACATGGGTGGCGTAGGTCACAACATAACAGAAGTTTGGCAGTTCCCAACTTTCGATGTCAGACCTTTTCGCTGCCTATGTCCGTGTCCAACGACAACATGGCATGGGTCCGACAGAAAACCCGATGTGCTGCACCTTGCGTAGTGAGGAAGTGGTTTGCGATGAAGCCGCTCCACCTTCGAGCATGTGTAGGGTGCTGTGTGGTCCCATGATTGGTGTGTATAGTGAACTTCGCAAACCCTTTTGATTCAAGTTGCTGATCCATAGGCTATAATCAATGCCTCAAAATGAAGCCAGCTTATCTTATTGCAATTCTCGCGTGGCTATCCAGCAATGCGCCTTACCCGGAGGAACATGATGCGCTGGATGCAGCATCTAGCTAGCAAATGGTCATTGAAAGGCTATAGATTTAGGGAAATTGAAAGTATCTAGATTCCACGCATCCCCATTGGGCAACAAAAAAACTACAGCTGCTCAGGTAGAAATCTGTGCAGGAGAAGGACAGCTATCACGTGCTCTTCACGACTGCGGGTACAACATCAAGCCTTTCGATGTCTCTTGGCTGCAAGTTCCCCGTAAGTTCGTACATGTTAGAATGTGTTAGAATGCCAAGGGTTTTGTTTAAGTTCAAACTGGTTGCAACATGTTCTAACATAAGGTTCGCTACTCTGCCAAACACAATATACTTCGGACCACTGGTTTCGTGACAATTCTGGCGGCTGTGACTATCTTGCATTCAGCTCAACCTCTGTTTCTGGTGTCTCTGGGTATTCGTGGGTATCCCTTTACCTGTCCATCACTCAGACCATTGCAGGTAAGAAATATTCGCAAAAATGGGCTACTCTTTCTAGCCCCTCCATGTGCTACATGGGTATTCCTGTATCTTGGTGATCAAATCAGATGGTATGCATTCAGGGCCAATCGGAGCTGCCTGAATGATGGACTGCTGAGGTCACAGGGATCCACCAAACGCAATTGGTGGAATCCTGGCGGCGGGGATTCCAAAACAGTACTCCTATCAAACGTGCTGGTGATGCGACTCCTTTACCTGTAACATGTCTGCCTCAGCAAGGATGATTTTTCCAAATGACACTTATGTTTGTTGTTCCAATGTGTATGTGGCATTGTCATCGGATGAACCTATCAAGATATATTATGCTCACCAGCGCGGAGTATATTTCGCAATTGAACAGCCAATGACAAGTGCGACTCGGGCAGCAATGATATAAAAATGTTATATCTTCAAGACCTCTGATTATTCCTTCCCCTTTGTTTCTAGCCGGATACAAGGTCCTTTTCATATGGAAGCCGGTGCGAATGCTGATGCAATGGTGCCGTGCCAGGACACGTATTTGATCCAACTTGCAGACTAAGCCTAGGCCAATTAAAAAAACATGGACATATTATACAGTATCCAAACTGCATATTACGTAGTGAGATTGTGAAATACGCTATCTATGTGTTTGCCTCTTCAGGAGAGTGGCTTTTCCCATGGGGGCATTTGGAAGCCCAACGATGAAAATGACAGTGTCTTTTTGGTGGCATTTAACACATACAGTACATGTTTGGTATGTTGCTGGTTGCAACTAGTCTCGACCTTTTGCTCCACCGGCTAGCCAACGATCAGCAAAGGATGAGAAGACAAAGAACAAGTCTGGGGAGAAGCAGAAGGAGAAGGTTGCAAAAAATGAAGACCATGAGGAGAACAAGAAGTCAGGTGAGAAGACCGGCTCTGCGAAGGATCAGAAGACAAAGACAACACCTGAGGAGAAGCAGAAGGAGAAAGCGGCAAAGAAGAAATCCACAGAGCCAAGCGAGGAGAAGAAGCCACATGAGAAGACAGGATCTGCAAAGGATCAGACGATGAAGACGAAGCCTGAGGAGAAGCAGAGAGACAAGGAAGCAAAGAAGAAAAGCAACGAAGATGAGACCAAGCCGAAGTCAGTTGAGGAGACTGGCACAGCAAAGGACCAGAAGACGAAGACAGAGCCTGAGAAGAAAAAGAAGAAGAAGGCACAGAATGAAGACCAGGAGGAGAACCAGAAGTCAGGCGAGAAGACTGGCTCTGCGAAGGATCAGAAGACAAAGACAACACCTGAGGAGAAGCAGAAGGAGAAGGCGGCACAGAAGAAATCCACAGAGCCAAGTGAGGAGAAGAAGCCAGATGAGAAGACAGGATCTGCAAAGGATCAGACGATGAAGACGAAGCCTGAGGAGAAGCAGAGAGACAAGGAAGCAAAGAAGAAAAGCAAAGAAGATGAGACCAAGCCGAAGTCAGTTCAGGAGACTGGCACAGCAAAGGACCAGAAGACGAAGACAGAGCCTGAGAAGAAAAAGAAGGAGAAGGCACAGAATGAAGACCAGGAGGAGAACCAGAAGTCAGGCGAGAAGACTGGCTCTTCGAAGGATCAGAAGACAAAGACAACACCTGAGGAGAAGCAGACAGATTCAGGTCAAAAGCCTGCCACAACAACCAGTGCCACTACTGCTTTGAAGAGAGGATCTCAGCAGGCAACAGGAGAGATCCAGCCAGTGTCACCGGACAAGAAGAAACTGAAGTCCGAACATGCAAACCAGACAAAGAGAGACTTGGAGAAGGTACCTGGACAGTCTCCTGAGAAAAAGAAGGCAAAGGGAAAGGAGCCACAGTGGGAGGAGCAGATCAATTTTCGTAAGGTGGGCGGGGATACATTGACACACCGCCCAAACATGTTTTGATATGTATGCTTCGGTGAACAAAACTTGGGGTGATTTTTGTTTTGACAATATATTTAATATAGACATTGGTTGGTTTATTCTTTTCTGACCAGTGGGAAATATTCAGTACAGAAGACGAATTCCGAGAATTGACATTCTTTGTTGCACGCTCCGAGTCTGGTGACTGGCCTTGAATGTCTGTGGCCCATTGTTGTTCAATTCTGCCTCTGGCAATGGAACGGCGGTGGGTCATGGATGGGGGTCGCCATGCTGTGGATCTATAGATTATAGTATTTTAGGCAGTAAATATGTTATGTTCCACAAAATATTGCGCTCCTAACCCTTTGTTGTGTCTACCCCTGACATGTACCAGGACCCTCTGAAGGACTTGGAACGTGTTGGCACCTTGGACTCGATCGAATTAGCAACTCCGCGGCGTGAGCTGTCCTTCAGCGCGGCCCAGGCTCGACACAAGGTTTGGGTGGGATTTCCTGGATAGTGTTTGAGTTCAGAAAGTATAAGCCTGAACGTATAGTCCTACTTTTGCTACTTCAAATAATCTATATTCTACAAATGGTATATATGATAAAGGGGATTTGTTTTATCCATCTGGCCAGGATACTCCATCTTCGGCCCCATCCAGTTCAGCTAGGCAGTCCAGGATGACCGATTTGACCAAGCCCAGTGACCTTAACCCTGATGAGAGAAAGCGCCAGTATTCCTCATTAAGGAGAGCTATCTATCGGGATGCCCCACCGGCATTTGTTGCCAAATTCCAGATGTGCAGTGACGCTGAACGGTTCTTTGATTTGAAACCATGGGAGTTCTTTTTGTGGTCAGCTGGACTGCTTATATACTTCCCTTGTCATATGTTTCCACATCTTATATCTATACCTCTTGACATCCCACCGTGTGTTCCATGATGTTCCATTGTAGATCCCATTCTATATTATGTTATACAATATCTTCCAATGTCTCCTGACGTTTCATTATCATCCCCATTATATACCGTTATGTCCTAGCCACTCCTAAGCTGAAACCAAGGTTCACCATGTTGAAGTCATGGATGACAAACCCAGACTTGAGTTCCATCGACGTGGAGGAGAAATATGTGTCGTACGTGGAGCAGCTCCGCACTGACCGTTACACCACTGTGACTTGAATCTTTCTAAAAAACATTGACCCAGGAATGATGAAATGTGTTTTGGTTATGTTGCTGTTGTGGACTTTGATGATGTTTTTTAGGTCACGATCCTGCAACTGGAGAAAATTTATGGTCGCTCAAAGGGTGCCCAGGAGTGCATTGCCCAGATCACCAAGGGCCATTTAGCTGCAACAAAACATGTTTGGTGTATTACTGTAGGTTGTGCTCCCCGAAGTGGTGTTTATTCATATTTATCATTGGTCACCAGCCTGCCATCCTAGGCCAGGTTGGTGTAGCTCACCCGCAGGCCCAGTCGGCAAGGTTTGTCCTGGATAATGTGGTTGGTCCCCAGCTGTGGCCTCTTGCCAGGCGCCGTCCTGCCCAAAGGCAAGAATGTATAAAGTCTTAAAGGAGGTAGTGGAAGACACCTCTACTGGGAAGCGTGCGGAGGCCAATGTCACTCTGTAGCACCATCGTTCATGCACCAGTGTCACATTTGGAATGCATATACTTTTTTTTGAACATTCAGATCTACGGGTTTGTCCTACATACCGATCTACCTAAGGCTTCCTTGAAAGGAAGGGTGAGGGATGACAATGCGAAAAAACTCATAGCGAAGCAACTTGGAGGGCTGATGGATGATGTCCCGAGCTTTGATCTGAAGACTGGACAGATCAAGACTAAGAAAGGCAAGAAAGAAAAATCACCAGAAGACATGGCAGTGCAAGAGCTCAAACAACTTGAGAAAAAGTACCTTGAATTCAATGAGTTCGGATCTTGTGTGAAAATACTTCGTATATAAAATTCTCATACCATCATATATGGGACCTATCCACCAAAAAATATAAAGGTACTGTATACACTGTACACCACATCGTCCAAAACACTGCCATAGCTTTGTTTTCTATATGTATACAGGTTCGATGACTATTTTCAACTCACAGGGGAGTGCAGCTTGATCTTTCCAATGACAATGCTGCTGTTCGGGTCCTTGTGCGTATCCAAGACAGCAGCCACCGAGGTTGAAGGCCTTGGTGAATGGCATTCCGAGCTGTATCAAGGAGATTGCGGATTTGAATGTGAGAAACTGCCAGGAGTTGGCAACTCGAAAACACCATTATCTTTCCAGAATTTGGGTTCGTCAGCTGTAAAGAAAATACATACTTCAACCTTATCTGTTGGGATGATTTGGTTCATGTTGGATCTTTGAAGCATCACCTGCCTACCCCAAGCCATTAGGTGACAAACTTGTTGCAGCATGAGAATACGGTCAAAAACTCCCACTCACGAGTCATGGAGAAGCTTAAGATCCCTGTGTCGTCTATCATAGCTGATGAGATTGCCGGCTTCATCCTCGTGGAGAAGGAAACTGTGAAAGACTGCGCTGTTGATTTCCGTGACGGCAAGCGCCGTGTTAATGCTGCTAAGGCCCCCCGGAAAAGCCGGAAGGCTACTCCTGCTGATGCATGTGCATCATCTGCAGGTGGTAGTGAGTCTGACTGATATGGGTCGCCCTGAAGTCACCTAATGATAGCTGTTAAGCAATGACATTTGTTTTTAAGCGCAATATTTGGAATTTAACCCTGGTTACCCAACATAAACCCTGGACCTTTGGCTGTGGGTGATCTGGGGTTTGCCGAAAAGAGGCTTAGGGCTGGGATTCCGTGCGGTGTCCAGGAATGACCGCACGTTGATTACGTGAAACCTGTGACGTGACAGATGTTACAATTGTAACCGTGGCCACGGACGGGCAATGCTATGGGGAATGGACATGATCAAAAAAAGTGAACCCCTTGCTTCTGAACATGGAAAAAGAAATGCGTTTTTTTTGATCAACCAGCACAATGACAGTTTGAAGGTGGCTTACCAATCCATGGAACATATGCTTCCGCAGGAGTATGGCTAATGTGATTTTAGAATTTCATCTCCCAAAACCATTCTATAGCCGCATTATATAATCCAAACACCGATATCATTGGGGACATTCACAGTATGTGTAGGTAATTTCATTTTTGGTATATCTACGGGGTGCATGTGAGAGAACATGTGCGCACAGTTGTGAGTGCACCCGTGCAACAAAAGCTGCCTGCTACATGGACCTTGTGGAGGATTTTTTGGAATTGACGCGAACGTAGCGCGGTTGCATGGGAGGCATCATCAAAAAAACTGTTTTGCCCAACAAACCAAGCATTTGTTTTCAAACATTCACTCCGCTTTATCATTGGCACATCTTAGGTAAGTGTGTCTACGACGGTCCAATTGTTTCGCATACTGAGAGATCGTATTCCTGGACGACACCTTCCGAATCTCTTTTGTGACTGGCTTTCTCAGCTTCCTTTCCAGGCTTGCCTCTTCTCCAGCTCTGTCTCTGTGTGTGTGTGCGTTGTTTCTAAGGAGAAATTTACACTCGCTGGTGGACACCCTTTGCAATAGTGACCCGCGTGATTCCCATTTTGCACGTGCTTTTTGGCGATGGCTACGAAAGCAGGAATGGCGAGCAATGTTGCCTGAACCTTTTTTGTACCTCAACAGAAACAAAATACGAAAAACAAATGTGTATGAACGTCCAGTTGTCATGTGGAACAAAATATCACAACAAACAAGATCACCTGATATTGCGTGCGCTCAGGGTGGAGGTTGTCCTTTGTGATCCCAGTCGTGACAGTCCCCTTTACTTGGGTGAATGGCATTTGTTTCTACCAAGCGATGTGTTTCTTGGTAAATATGTAAATGCTTCGGATAGCAGGTGTTCACTGTTTTTTCCCTGCTATCTTTTGTTTACTGTTGCGTCATGTGATGATGCTACAGGTTCGCTGCTATCTACCACTATGACTGGAACCTGTTCAAAGCTCGTTTTCTGGGAGAGGATGGTGTATCTTGGCTTCACAGGTTCAATCGTTCCATTGTCAACCCCAGAGATCAACAATAAGGATCATAAGCCAGTGAATCAAACATAATCAAACCAACACATGTAGGTTTGCGTGTCATTTCTCTGAGGCTATTGCAGCATATTGGAATTCTGTACGGCACACCCAGTGGTTTCAGGAGCATCCAGTACTCTCTTCGTCTGACTCTCTGATTGGTGCTGAGATCTTTTGGTGGTGGTTATGTTGTTTAAATTTGTCACCATTATCTTCGATGTTATTCTGAATATTCTAGCCAACATTGTTCATTTCAATACTCCTAGCCCCAAGGACTGTCAGCTTGATCGATGTGTGCCCCTGGTTGTGCACGGAGATGGGGCAGACAGTCACAGGAGACGCTCTTTCTTAGTGCTCACCATGGGGTCACTGGTTGTCTCAGGAAATTTTTGGGATTGCAAATTTTTACTGTACTGCCTGGACGAGTCCCGTGTTACCCCTGATACAGTTTCAACCTTGGACCTTTGGTGCGCCTGGTCAATGACTGAGTTACAGCTTGGATCCTATATGGATAAAGACCCCTGGGGACGTAGCCTCGCTGCTTTTGACACTGGAAAACGTCAAGGCCTGATTGCCGGCGGCTACAAAGGCATCCTTTGCTACCACAAGGGAGACGAGAAGTACCACCAGAAAGTTTACAGAGCAAGTCATGGAGCTGTGAGTCGCAATGTGTGCGTGACATGCAGGGCAACAAACGATGGTGATATGGTGTACACTGCGCACGGCATCAACGCAATCCATCGCACCACACGTCTCTCTACAGAGGAGTTCATCACTGGGGTTTGCGGCACCAGGACATGGGTGGGCGTACCAGGGTGGCATGTGGGAATGCTTTGCTATGACTGGCTTCATGTCGTCGACTTAACCGTGATTCCTGAAGTCGCTGCATCTTGCCTCGTCGAGCTCACAGAGGAAAGCACATTTGGGCATGCGTCAACTGCTGATGAGCGTTTGCGATTGGCATTTGTTGCGTTCACAAAAGCTTGCAAGAGGGCAGGTGTGCGCAATCGTGGGCAAATGTTCAGTATGCTGCTTGGCTCTTGTGGAAGTTTTTTTTCCCCCAGCTTCAAGCCCTTAAGGGTTTTGCTCTCTGGTGGTGTTTCTGTTGCACGTATGCTGCCTTGGCAATCCCATCAGGAAACAACTCTATCCAAACGGTGCAAAAACATACCACACCTTGTGCCAGAAGCATTTCAATGCAGCGGAGCCTTGTTGAAAGAAAAACTTTGTCGGATTGCACATTGCCCATAAAGCCTTCCAAGCTTTACCATGTCCGATTACCTTGTTCAGAGAATAAATGCACTTAGGAAGCTGTGGTGCTTGCAAAATGGCTTGAATCTGTGACTGTGCTGGTGGCAGAGAGGAAACCACATGATGAACATGCTCAGTTTCTCGCCTTGTTTTTCTCATATGTTTACATGTTTCACTGGTCTTTTTCTGAAAACATCCTTTGCCTTTGCTCAGGCTACGTGCTGCAGTTTTTGTCAATCTGGTTGCGATGCGCGCTGCGATGAGTGATTCGTCCAACACCGGAGTCAAGCTGACCGATTCCAATTTGCAAATGCTGCAGCGTGCAAACTATTTGTTCCATTCCGCGCACAACTGATGCTTGGCGGCTTTACTTTTGATGTGTCAGTTCAGCCTGCAGAGGTGAAGTGTGATTTCATTGCTTAAAAAAAATCTGATCATTTTGTATCTGAGGGCTTGCGACTGAAGCTTTGGAAAAAGAAAATCTACTTTGGCGCACACGTCCAAAGTACCACAAGTAACTTGTGTGCATATTAGTGTTCTGCCTGCGGGTAAGTAGCCTATCTTACCAAGTGTGCATAAACAAGTGTGTGCTACCTGGTTTTGGGTGGATGCCTATAGATTGTTTTTTCCTTCATGTTTTTCTCGCACCATGTGAGGTTAGACCATATCGTCTACGACTGTGCTCCAGAAGTTTCTCCACTGAAACTAAGCTGCTATACAGATGAGGACGCGATGGGAAAACTGAAGAAATTAGATGAAATTAGCGATGATTTCATATCCCAACCAGATGGGACGACAAGTTCTGTCATCTACGCTGCATATACATGCGTGCGATTGCTTCGAAGACTCACAGAATAAGCTAGAGTATATACTCTAAATGTCAAAAGATGTCACTATGTATTTTTTTATGCTGTCATTTTGTGTACTGTGAGTTTTCGGCGACTGCATTTCCAACGACTCCCGTTGGCACCTTCTGAGCCTCTTTCCAAAATGTTGAGCTGGTCCAGCCGATGCCGCCGCAGCGCAGCCAGGTGTGAACTGGTGATTGATGGAATGGGGTTATTTGATAAGATTACCAAAGAATACCTACAAATATATCTTACTATATCCAGCACATATGTTTTTAACAGTTGGTATGACCTTGGGAATAAGGGTTCCCGTAGTGGGACCCCTTAAAGATATCAACTTCCAAAAACACAGTGGGGCCCCTTTGGCGGTGCTGGTATACAATTATATATATATTATAATATATATATATATTATATATTATATATTATATATATTATATATATATTATATATATATTATATATATGCACATTCACATACAAGTGATCCTCACATTTTGTGCGTGAAACCCTCATATTTGAATATGTCTAAAGCGATTAGACCTCCATCACTCCACGACCATAGCCTCTGCAACTGCGTCCTCTGCGCTGGCTTTGCAACGTCTGACGTGGTTTCCGGTGTGCGCATCTCGTGGCTCTTCTTTCCCCTGAAGGGTGGAAAGGGTGAAGCTGGAGTTATAACAGACTGTCCACGACTCACAAAAACAAACAAGCACGTCTGAACTAGGATACGACATGTGGATGTGTTTTGGGTCAACATGGTTTGTATAGAAAGACTTCTGAGTGGTTCAAATTTTGTTCCAGGTTGTACATGTGTCCTTCCACCAGGGAGTATCAATCTAAAACCCATCCACATAATACATGTATGTATACATATTTATTATACAGTATATGATTCTACATTGTATAGAAGTTCCAGAAATAATGGTGTTTTGGCTCTGCACAAGTTCCATTTGTTTTTTTCCGGTCTTTTCACATAGCATTGTGGCTGTCGCTTTAGAACTTTACAACCTCTTCACATCGACAGCGCCAAGACCAAACAATACAGCCATTGGACTGTTGTACCCACCATAAATCTGAGTCCCTCAGACCTCTCTCAAATAAAAGCAACTTCTGAACATGCTATAGATCAACGAGCCACTGAAGCTGCCTTTGAAATCACCATCTTTGGCACATGTCTCCCGCCATGCAGATTCACCAGCAGAAGCCTCTGCGCTGCGCGCTTGCGCAGAAGGTCTTCAAAGCCAGGCTTTTCCTGGGAAAATGGTTTGGAGGATCATCCTAAGTGGTGAACCATACATTTATAGCCATGGCTATTAGTTATAACTGGTTAGTTCATCTTATTTCTATGGGATTATACATTCTATAAATGGGGTTAGCTCAGTACTTTTAACTGGTAAAGGGCCATGTAGTTATAGCAAGTTATAGCCCATTTATAGATGGGATGAACCATGACTCGAGGACTTACTTACTGACCAGGGATCTCCCAACAGCTCTCAACAGATACACCACCAGATGATAGTCTCCATGCTATCTATCCATTCAAAGAATTCCCAAGAAAAGCAGAAACAAAAAAACAAAAACATGGTGAAATTCATGGGATAATCAGTAGGGATGCACATAGCAAATCATAAACATCATTTTGGGTATCATCCTGGTCCTAACCATTCTGGTGACCTTCCCTAGGTCGCCATCGTTTAGCAATATACCCTCTGCGAATAAAATATGAAAGTCAGTTGGGATTACTATTCCCAATATATGGACAATAACAAATGTTCCAAACCATCAACCAGTTATGGTGACCTTCCCTAGTGAGGTCGCCCTCGTTTACCCTGAGCATTTTTTACCCTCTGCGAATAAAAATGAATCACTGGAAAAAAATACAACATTTGTGCACCATTGGTATCTGTTTAAAGAAGATTTCAATCTGGAAATCTGGAAGACTTTGGAAGATACCTTAATACCAGATCAGGGTGGCCGTCGGTCTCGGCTTGGCATGGGCATGGTGTCGATGCTGTAAAAGTCGGGATGTAAGGCAAAAAACAAAAACAGGCGCATAACTTGGTAGAGTAGTTTTTTAGTGGGTTACCCGCTGGTAATTCAACATGGTTATAGAAAATCACAATTTCTCTTTTAAAGGTATACATCATCGAACTAAATGGGCCATGACTTCCATACCTATGTTAAATTACCAGAAGGTATTCTTATAGATTCTATCTCCCATGTGTATCGATTTGTCCCTTATTCAGTGGTAAAATCTGCAATGTTTGATGGTTGTACAGTTGTACCGTACTATATATATATACATTCATATGTATACCCTCTGGCAATCAAATATGGCAATCATGGCAATTGCAAATCACCCATTTATAGTTGACTTTTTCCTATCAAACCTCCATTTTTTCCCGCGTGATTTGCCACCCAATCCAAGCCTTCGCTGGCACCGCTGGCACCGTTTCCGGAAGTGCCTGGCGCCGCACAGCAGGGCGGGTTGAACATCATATGATGATTGTTTGATATTGTTTGGTTACATGTTCCCAAATAAAATATATCCAGTGTCTATCATTATCTAATCAAATCCCTAGTGTTGATGGTTCTGATGGTTAATAAAAGTATTGCAACGTCCCCAAAAAAAAAATCAAAACAAAGACATCTTCCCAGCCTGGTAGCCTCCAGTATCCAACTTGGGATCTTCTGCTTGCAAAGTTTTCCACCTTAGGGTCCAAGGTGATCGGAAGTGAGCCCAAGTTCAGGATTATACTATATATATATATACACATAATATGGGGTTCTCTGAACTCATAATGCCGCCCCCCAATTCAATGTTTTTCCTGGTTTGTCTCTACTGAAAATGCAATTTTGGATCATTTTTGGGCACAATTTTGAGACAAACCTTTATTAATATCTTATAATATATTATAAGTTGATGCAAAACTCTCAATTTAGCTCATTACAGTCATCTATTTTTCTCGTGGCCAAACATCAAACAAGATCAAACAATCAATCTACTCAACCAAAGTCTACCCTTTATGTCTCTTGATCTGGATCGCCAAGGGGCGCCGCTATGCCACCATCCAGCACCTGACAGAGAACTTGCGGACGAAGGAGCTTGGAAATGCATGGAAATGATGTGTAATTAAACCTGGAAACTCATGTGATGTTCAATGCTCACCAGGGAATGGTGGAATGGTGGACAAGTGTAGAAAAGCAAAACAGTATGTGGAACCCGAGATCAAGAGCGAAAACATCTGCTCCAGTGAGAACAACAGTATGATTATTTGATATTGTTTGCATTGGTGGTAGTTGCCACAGCTACACACCATGACATTGGGTATTCGGTATTCATATCTTGATTAAAAATGATTAAAAGGAGTGCTATTGCTGGTATTTTCAAGCACCCGTCTTCCACAGGTATGGGACACTTCCCATTGCCCATTCCGATCAGCCCGTGGTGTGGGAAATTTACCCCTCGGTCATCCTCTGTGGCATCAAACCCTCGACCCCCCAGACACCAAGCATCTGTGGTTATGAGGCTACGGGGTCAAGATCTAGAAGATCCCCCTCGTGCAAATCCACGGGATACCCTAACATGGCAATTTTCATGCTGAGAATGATTGACTTACCCTCTGGTAATTTAACATAGCTATTGAAAATCACCATTTTCTAGCTGGGTAAATCCACTATTTCTATGGCCATTTTCAATAGCTATGTTAGTCATTACCAGAGGGTATTATCCATTATATCACCTATAAATCCCTATAAATCCCTATAAATCCCTATAAATCCCCATTATTACCAGAGGGTACTATAGATTACTATAGGTGTTTTCCCAACATTTTCACGTTCCAAGCGTTCGAAAAAAGCGCCCTGGGCACCGATGGTGCGAAGAGCTTGTCTGAGAAGTGGCGCCAGGTTTCAGCGCCGCCACTGTAGGCCTTGGAAAAAAAGGCCCGAAATTCCGAAATACACATTAAAAGAAAGATGTTATAAGTGAAATAAGATTAAAAGATGTTATACTGTAAAATAAGTATTCTTCAACATACCAGTTAAAAGATGTTATAAATCAGTGAAATAAACATGAAATAACATTAAATAACCACAATTTATGGAATGATCACCCCATTTCGAACCATTTTCTAACTGGTATGGCACGTGCTTTAGCTGTGGTATACCCCATCCCATCGCTCGAATTCAAAGCCAGCCTCTGGTGATTTCAGAGTTTGCAATGGAAGCCATGGCCCATTTATAGATGATCAAGATAAAACAAATGATATATATATATGATCAAGATAAATAAAAATAGGGATTTATTTCACATTATCATTTTGTCATAGGGATGATCAAGATAAGTTTAAAAAAATGATAATTTCCCTATGACAAAAAACATGATTTTGCATAGAATCCCTTGTTCAAAACAACGGTGGTTGACCCGCAAGAATCTGGCTCAAACAACAACGTGTTTGGAAGCTCAGGCTCTACAGATTCGAAGGATATCTGAGCTTTACATGCACCTTTTCTAGGGCAGCTACCTCCAAGTGGTCATAATTAATTTCCTTCAAAATCCAATTTGAAGGAAGAACTCATCGAATTGATATTCAATATTATTCAATACCATCTGGTAAACAAAAATGAAGACAGTAACAACCTTTTTTCAGATTCCCAGCGAATCTGTAGCCTCTGCGAGTTGTGGACGGCCATGGAGATTCCCATTAAATCCCCACCATTGGGTCGCCAAACCCAGTGGCTCCTCAGAAGCGCGCTCCGCATCTCCTGAACCGTTTTGGGTCTGAACCGTCGGCCAACTGAGTCAGCGTGGAGATTTTTCAATGAATCATATGTTGGTTTGGAACTTTCAATTTCAATTGTTTTTTGTGGGTCATGAATCATTTTATAATGGATTATCATGGATTCTGTCCGTCATGGGGTAAAATTGTAAAACCATGGTCTGTCTTGAGGAGGCTCAAACCAAAAACTGTGACTTGAAGGGATCATATTTCACCAACACTTTCCTTGGGGCACAATGTAGTAAACTAACTTAGTACGAAACCCGACAATCAAAGTACAGAGTTTTAGCAGTAGCATTCAGATCCTTTTGGGTGGCTGTATATGAACAATAAAAACAAGGGCAATCAATTCGTTGCTCATTTGTAGCAACAAAAGATGTGAGGTACAATATACAGTATGTATCAACATGTTATCATACCAGCAGTTGCATTTCTTCAATATTGTCAACCATTGATACTATAGATTGATGATATTATACTATAGTTAGTATATATACTATAGATTGAATATTGTTGACTTCTTGAGAAAGTGAGGCACACGTCAGCGGAACGGTTTTCATTCATTGAACTTTAAAATCACTTCCAGATCGAAGGCCTGCCCTGGGAAAACCCTGAAATCAGCTGGCCAAACTGAGTCGTTTCTGGAGCCAACTGGCTTGAATCATCTTTGATCTGGTACAGTAATGACTAACATAGCTATTGAAAATGGCCATTTATAGTCATAGTGGATTTACCCAGCTAGAACATGGTGATTTTCCATGGTTGTGTTAGTTTACCAAAGGGTAATCTGTATCTGGACATATCTTTCATGGAACTCACCCTTGGGGCTGTAGGCAAAAAACACGTGTCACAATGTGTCACATTAATAATGCATGAATCGTTTCAACGGGCTAGATCTAGCCCTGAATAGCTCAGCGATGGCCGCTGGCCCGTCCTTTTTGGCCGCCTGTTTGTGGTCCAAGTGAAATGCCAGGAGTTTGTTACCTGCCAATGGATTCCCCTATCGGTTATATTGGGATTATATGGAATAATGGGATCATAGATGGGATAATGGATGGTTATATGGGATCTGCTTGGTGGTTTCAACCTACCCCTCTGAAAAATGATGGAGTTCGTCAGTTGGGGTTACGACATTCCCATGGAAAAAATTGGAAAAATAAAACATGTTCCAAACCACCAACCAGTCAAGCGAAATCTCTTGACCAATCAATCGGCACCCTGGAAAAGTCGGCTATGGGAATCTGGTAACTGTGTTCATGGTCTGGACCCTGGCAGAAAAGTCCACAGCTGCTCCCACAGTTTGACACAAATCTGCTAAACCCGTCTCATGAGTGGTATAGGTTGGGAAGATTAAAATCACACATGCATACAAATGCCAGAAATGAAAAGCCCCTGGACTGGGGTAGGTGGACATCCACACATCTAAATCTATATAAATCTATATAAATCATTAGTTTTATTATAAGATCTTCAGCCGAGCAATGAGGTATTGTTAAAAATTGTTAAATGGGTTGGTTTCGCATAGATAATTCATCATCGGCCTAGACTTGATTCAACCCCGAACTTAGACTTTAACCTGTTGTTTCTATTCATTTTAGGTACCCTTCGGTATCATCGTGGCCATGGACAAACACTTACAGATTACAGATGTTGTTTCCCTTTCAAACTATTTAGAACCACCATGTGTAGAGATTCTTTCATCGCCAGTTTTGATTAACAAAGGGTATTAATTACTAACATGGATCCTGCAGAAACATCAACTCCACAACAGCATGGACCCTGCTGGATCGATTCCACTGGGTTGAATCTCCTCGAGTTTCAATGCTTCATGAAACGACATCCAGAACAGGCCCGATGTAAAATATCTATCTGGTTAGTTGGGATTTTGATTCCCAATATATGGAAAAATAAGATTGATATGTTCCAAACCACCAAACAGTATAGTTTCCCCCAATTTGTGGCTATCATTTACACATAACACCACGTCCTTTGTTAGTAACTTTGGAGTTGGAGCTGCCCTACATTTGTTGTCAATACATATTGTCAATAAATGTCAAGATGCCAATCATTTTGTTCAATATGCCCAACCTGTGGTCAATGTCATTAACATACCCAACACTTTGATGTTTTCTTGACAAATTAGTATTCTCAAATCAGAACAAACTCATTTAGAAAGTGTGAACCTGCGTTTGTGGACTGCTTCTCCTATCAAAACCTTGCATGTTTTGAGTTTAAAACCATCGTTTTGTTATTTGTTGATTTGTTTGAATCTGGGCTGCCCCTAAATCTACTGTTTCATCATAATTTTCCCTATCAAACATTTCCAACCACACCTACCATCTTGTTGATTATCTGTATACATATATACACGGAGACATATAAAACCAATCTCCGTTCATATCCTTCTATAATCTACGAATCATATGAATTTAAACCCACATCATCCCAGGTATGCTTGGATATCACCAAAAAAAACCTGGTACTTTTCTCATCAACATAGCTGGCATGTTCTTCTCCAAAAGCTCCGTAGGTTTTGACTAATCCCCATATCAACACAGTCAACACATGGTCAAAAACGATGCCACCGGAATCCCCACACACAATGGGTATGCCAGGGGATATTTCCCCGAATACCAAGCATTATTCCAGTGCCAAAAAACGACGTGAGGTCATCATCAAATTCATCCACACACACAGATATATATATATATATAGTCTAGTTATATATATATATATATACTATATATATATACATACTAAGTATATAATATGTATATTGTATATTATATATATACTATATATGGTACAAAATTCATTGATGTACATCCCCAAGCAGTATTTCATGGTTAAATCCCATCCAAAACATCCACGTAAAATTTCCTGGAGAAATCCCCATGGGCGTACTCAACATGTCATTGGCCACAATGGCGCCCAGCTCGGAACCAGGGATCACCTGCGGCCATGGCTAGTTATAACTGGCAATTTCTATAGTGATTTCTATATGATTCATATGGAATTTATAGGGTTTTATCACCATATCATCTACAATTATGGCCAGTCATGAGTTATAACTGGTGATTAATGGTGATTTATGGTGGTTAATAATGGTTAATTGTGGCTAAAAAATGGTGAAAATTCTATGAAATTATACATAAACCATTTTAATGGACTGACTTGTGCGCGCAGTGTGTGCATGTGTATATATCATATAATAGAACATAATGGATATAGTATAATAGAATATATAATATAATATTATACTATATGATATTATATTGTATGTATATATATATATATATATTCAATATTATATTATATTGTATGTATATATATATATATATATGTTCATAGTGACCCAGCCGCCTATATTAAATATCCCTGCAGACCCCCTGTTTGAGTTTTGGATCTGTTCATTTTTGGGCCCATATAAGGCACTTAATAAGACTTAATATTAGTGGGAAGGGATTGGCAAAAAGGGGTTCTCCCTGAACGATTGAACTCCCATGGTTATAGCCATTCAATATTTCACCCCTGGCCTGCACCCTCAAGGATTCTGCAAAGGATGGGGGCCACAAACCTTATGATCAAAAAATGGGTGGCAAACCCAAACGACTCCGGGATGTACCCTGCAATCAAACATGGCGTGCCGGAAAATTGCCCATTTATGGATGACGTTCCCAGCTGTAATCAACCTTCATGTATAGGGGATTTCCAATTGCGATGTTTGATTCCGGGCTGGTAAGCTAGAAATGATGGAACCCAAGCACAATCGTTGTGGTGTTTTAACATGTTGTTCAAAATAATGTTTCTATATCGCGCTTAATGACGGCTAAGGTTCGCACAAGTTCCCATCAAGCATCTACAGGGTCTCCATCATCTATTAATTTCATATCCCCGTATTTGATCGGTAAACCCAATGATGGAAACACATCCCCATTAAACCACATATAGATCTCTTTCAAATCCGATGAGATAATCCCTTATCGTCGCCAAACAAATACCTATAAATCTCATTGAAATCCCTCAATAAATCCCAGATGATTCCATTTCAATTCCCAATAATCATAATCCCATAACCCCAAAAAAAAAATATAGAAATTGGTTTGTCATCCTTATTCAAAGTGAGGCATCTTTGAGACATAAATATGGGATAAACTATATATATATATCAATACACCTGTGTAGATATAGTGCCTGATCCAAGGCATCCAGTGCCCGCTGCCAAGCGCCGGCTGCCTGACATGGAAAAGTTGGAAACCCTATTTGAAGCACGGAAATTTCGGCATCCTGGGAGCAGATAGTAATGATTAGGATGAAAAAATAGGAATCCACGGGATTCAACGTGCTGGATTTCTTTAGAGTCTCTTTTGTTGGTTTATCCGATTTATGGCACAGATATATGGGTATGGATCAATACCTATTAATACCATTTTTAGTGGGATGAACGTCCATTTACCAGCTATTTTGGGGTTCACCAGGGGTACAGGGTTTTGACCCAGCCCCATATATTTCGACCTTGGCAGACGTGGTGAACATCAAGCGAGAAAGCAAACTGCCGGGCACTACTCAAAGTACTTGGTTGGCAGGAATCGTAAGATAGTTCCCGGTGAATTCAGGTTAGGGTAGCCTCTGGTAAACTAACGTAACTGTGGGAAAATCACAACTTTTAATGGGTATATAGACCCACTATTTCTATGGCCATTTTCAATAGCTTTTTGTATGTTTACCAGAGGGTATATCCCATTAAAATCACCATGTTTGTTGGTTAAATCCCATTAAACCACCATTTTTCATGGTTAAACCAGAGGGTATTATCCATTATATCACCATACATCACCTATAAATCCCTATAAATCCCTATAAATCCCCATTATTAGGAGGATTTAGTCATTACCAGAGGCTAGTCCAGTTATCAGAACCAAACTCCGTCGTCCGGGGCCGTCTCTAAGTGATTGACCAAGGGTCAAGCAAAATCCACGGATTCCCAACTTCCCAGACCTCCACATAACGGTTCAAACCTGGCGCCGCCACAACAAAGTCATGTCAGAAACCACGGGGGCCGATCTTTTTTTGGGTCAAGTAATGTCAAGTACCTATAGATGTGTCAGTTTTTCTAGTTTCATGTGATTTCATATGTACGCATGTGATGTTTTTCAAAACTAAGACATGTAATCCCGTGCCCCCATCAAACAATAACCACGCCCAATTTGGAAACCAAAATGAACAACAAAACATCTTCTTGAGGCCAACAGATTGCCTGTTGCTTCGTGTCGCCGAGACTGTTTTTTGATCCGATCCCACTAATATTGAACACCCCTTAAGTGATCCTAAATACGGGGGTTCATCCCCTACTAAAGCATGATTTCTTGGGGATGTTTCATATTCAGGTGAAGGGATTACCTTCTGGTACATATGGGGGTCCTTCAAATTCAGAAACCATCCCCAACGGTAATCCAACGTGGCCATGGTCGCTGCGTACGTCGGGCTTTCCCAGAGGCCCGCCACGTTGACACCGGTTGGTGTAACATGAAGAAACACCACAATAAATCACTGGTTGGTGTCCATCCCAATACTTCGGTGTGAATTTCGGAATCTTGCTATTACTTGAATCATAAATGACATGCTGGTTGGTGGTTTCAACCTACCCCTCTGAAACATATGAGTTCGTTAGTTGGGATGATGACATTCCCAATATATGGAAACATAAAACATGTTCCAAACCACCCACCAGATCACATGTGCTGTCTCAAGACTAAACTTCCCAGAGGGCAGTGGAAATTTCAATTGGAGACACATTTTTTCCTGGACGAAGCCAAGTTAGAAAATTGCTAGTAAGGGTTGTACATAATATAGTATTACCGATACCTATTATTGTTCATTGGTATTAGTAGCAGATATTTTCATTAGTGTTATTCTTATTAATTAACATTAACTATATCCAGATATCTTACTATCCAGTGATATTATTCTTATAACTAGCTATAACCCATATGCTCCATGGTGCTGGTATATATATATATGCTCACATGACTGGGGTATATTGATGGGATCCATGGCACACCATATATAGCAGCACCGTTAGGATCCGTCATGGCATAAAATGTGCTTGGTAGCTGGATGGTAGACTTCATGTGCATCCCTGCGGCGCTTACAGCCATAGTCAACCGGGATGTTATGTGATGGAAAAAGCCTAGCGAAGCATCGTGTTTCACAGAATGTGTTAGTATATTTCTATATATTTCTGTATTATGGGTCATGAACTACTATCTGGAACTGATGAATACTCTTAGCCAGTTGGTAATTTACTGTCAACTATAGTGACTGGCAGTCTTGAAAATCACTGTTGCTATCATATAACGTTTGTTTTGGAGATAATCACATTTTCAGACGCACCCGAACATCAGATTAAGTCATGGTTGCTGTACATATATTAATATTTAATATGTATAAATATATACATGTATTATGTATATATATATTCGCATATGTAACCATGACAACCATGTCTTACTATATTCATAGTTCCCATGTGGCTACATACATCTGGTTTTTTATCTCACCGCACCTCGCAGGCTCAAAGCATAGCCGCGCAGCCTGGGGACGAAAAAGGCAAAGAAAATAACGATCGTCTTTTAGCTTCTTTCCTAGTTATGTCAATGTATATATATAATATATTATATATATATAGAATATATAATATATATATATATAATATATATAATATATATATATATATATATTATATATATACATTGAGGGTTCAAGCAGCTGTAGACCCAAATCTCCCCCGCAGGCGGTTTCACAAACCTAACCCAAGCCATGCCTTTCTCTACCCCATGCAGGCTGTTACTCCAAATGATACCACGGGCCGGTGAGCTGCACCAAATGCTGATTCTCGCGAATCCATGGTTCGTCATCATCCCAGTCAGTTGATTCATCTATGGTGATCACAATGGGGACCCTGAACAAATAAACCTGATATGAGAATATGTTCGTCTGTGACTGGCCTAAGCGATGAAAGTCTGGGTTTGCTTGAAATAAGGCCCGCTGAGATAGCACAAAGGACATAGAATTGCAATTGTCGAACAGGATAAAGCCGTGAGAATCTCTGTCGTAATGTTGTAACTCAGCGGCCGTGGCACCCTGGACAGTTTGAATGAAAGGAGGCTTCTGGATATACGTAGGCAAAACGAAATGGAGGCATTTTGCCAAGGTGCTTTTGCCAGCGCGCGAAGGCGCCCGGAGCACAAGAAATTTGTACCGAGAATCTAAAATGGAATACTGTTTGGCCCAGTCTTCGACTCGGGCAACCACTTCTGGCAAAAATGGCTTTTGCAATGGCTGGAGCTGAGCCACCACTTCGGCCTGCTCACGTCGGAGGCGACTTTCGCTCTCCTGCTGCATGACTGCTTCCACAGCGCGTTTGCGGGTGATATAGCCCAAGCGCACCTGCAACCTGCTGCACACGGTGTTGACACTTTTATAGTGATAATTCTGGAGACATTGGCCCTCTTTCTGAAAATGCATCTATAGAATCAGAGACCCCAAGGTATTTTCAAGTTGACAATCTCTTTAGAATCGCTGCCCCCAAGTCACTCTCGTAGAGCCGTTTTTTGGTTGGGGGGGTTAGTTGGCCTTCTATAAAATCAGGCTCCCCAAGTGTCATTCATTGACAGCTGACCTGAATGCTCCAGTTGCTCTTGCCTACCTTACCTTATGCATTCCCAATTTTATAGAGCTCAAAGGCTCCAAGTGTTCACTGTCAACCTCTTCGATTATATACAAGGATGATCAATGATGATGAACGAATTGTTGTGGGAAATTTGTTCTGCCAATACTTCTCTATAGAATTGAAGAACATGACATACACCCAAAGAGAACAGATCCAACTATAGAATCGCAGTGGCTAAGGCTTTCTGCTGACTAGGACTCAGTGCTGTATTCAACATGAAATCTCTATAGAATCAGAGGCCCCAAGGTCCTCTATACAATTGAAAGCGTTGACACTGGGTAGGTACCCCTAAACAAAGCAGGGGGTTAAAACGCACCATTTTCCAGGACCCAACGTTCTTGATTCTGTAGAGGAAATTCCAAGGGGGATATTTGAAGGTATCTGAAGATATGTTACGGCCAAATTATTGCTTATGTTCGGACACTTTAGCAGACTCGAAGCAGCACTTTTATAAACAACATAGGTGTTTGTGACGTTCCCTATTCTATGAAATGGACCTGCTATGAAGTGGTCCCACTGAAATTCACATTGGGTTTATGTTATGTTCCATTTCATACAAATCTTTTCGGAGTTGGTCAATATTCTGGTACCCGAAAACTGCCCGCACGCCACCCTTTCGCGAACCGTTCGCGCCCCAGCAGAATCGGGACAAGGAATTCTGATCATGTTTTCGTGCGCATATGTGTTTATAAATAGTGGTATGCAGACCTCGTTGAATTTTCAGGTTTCTCCATCCCACTTTATTACTTGTATATTATGGTACCCATATTCCAGACCACATAAAATATGATAAAGAAACATTTATAGTATGGGTTTAATCATTTCATCCGGACATGGGTTCTTCCCTTCCATATAGAGCTTCAATCAAGGGGGATCGATAAACAGCTATTGACAAGTCAACTGCAATGACACCGCCTAAAGTGAGTCTTTGGCATCCGCACCCCTGGGTCCATGTATATATATATATATAGATATATCCATAGATAGATATAGATAGATATAGAAAGACATATCTTTGTATAGATCTGTCTCGAAGAGATATATATATATATATGTGTGTGTGTGTGTGCGTGTGTATCTAAACCTCTCTCGAAAAATGTCTCTATATATCTACATATGCTGATCGCCATGCAGCCATGGAGCGTCCAATAAATGTGGACCCTGATGTATCTCCGGAATGAAAACAATGCTGCTTAACCCAGGCACGCGTACTGCAGGTACTGCTGATGAGAAAGCTTGTGCCCACTCCACAGCGCATCCAGCCATCTGCCCTGCACTGTGTAGTCCTTGAACGCCTCGTAGGAGCTGGTGGCAACGAAATGGGTTCCTACCTGCACAGATCGCCCGGGTGAATTCCACCCAGCACTCAAGGCATGTCAGCCGAGGAAATGATCTGGTGGTGGGTCCAGACAATTAGATTAGATGTGATGCTGGCGACGAAACAATCTACATATGCCGCTTGCTGTCAATTCCTGTCTCTGCAAACGGCCATTTATCGCGAAGCAAAAAGTTTCTTTCGCGCATCCTTCGCGAACTGCATGTGTATCTTTCGCGCAACCCATGTTGAGCAATAACTCCGCTTATGAAGATTCAATCGGCACAGGCCAAATCACACCAAATTAGCACGGAAAAGTGCTTCATAGCCTTGCAAACATTGTGCTAGCATCACGGAATCCCCTTCGCGAACAGGTTCTTGCTGCTGAGGAACTTTTTTAGCAAGGCTTACTGGGCCACGCCCTTCAAAATGCCCTTTGACTTTACCTAGTCTTTTGCAGCACTTGCGTGCAACTGTCGTGCAAAGACTTGTCTCCGCAGACCACAGCCAGGAGCACGGGGGGGCGGCAAAGGAAAAGCAAACACCAGGTGCCTTGGTGTTTGGCTCTTGCAAAGTGTCCCTGTTCGAAGCTTGGCTGCTGCCTTTCGCGGTTGTTTCTTGAGACTTCAGAAAGCAACGTTAGGCAGGACCAGCGGCAGGTGCAAGGATGTGCTTGGCCACCATGGTATTTGGCTCTGGCGAAGCGTGACCTTCGGAAGCTGGCTGCTACCTATGAAGGGAAAAGCCAATGTGCGGTCCCAGTCTCCTGCCGGACCCCCGACAGCAGGGAGGCGGTGGTAGCCCTTAACAAGCGGTACTGTAGACAATGAGGATGATGCATTCTAGCCACCGTTCGCGACACTTTCGCGAAGCAAACAGTTTCTGTTTCGCAAACAAACTTTCGCGCGGGGTCCCAGCACAAATGAACTGTGTTTGCAATTGAAACTCGTTATCAGGACCTTCAGATGGATCACCACATATATATGTTTATATGCAGAGATATATTTCGATATATCGATAGTGATAAATCTTGAATCAATGCGTACAAAGAAGAAGGATTGCCTATGCAAGACCAACCACGTAGATAGCGGTCCAATGAGTTCAGTTCATCCAAATCAGGCTCGTGGGTGCCCAGACCAAGGTGGCCTACAAAATGTTTGACTGCAAACACGATCTGCTGCAAAGCTGCCAGGTCTACTGATGATCAACTAGAAGCTACGTCATGCTGCTGCCACACGATCGGATTAGTGACAAAGGTGGCCTACATGAACTGCAACTTTCAACATGAGATAGAATGTCGTTACAAGGTAACCCAACGGAGATGCACCTTTGCAGCCCAAACGTAAAAATGTCCTTGGTCTGCCGCATCTCGCCAGCGTGCGCCCCGTGCCCGACATGGGGAAAGATTGGGCTGAATGCCCTTGAAACGGAGCGCCGTGCATGATTGCCAGTCGACGGGGCGGGCGAATTCCAGGAAGCAATGAATATGTAGACGGCCAGCATCCTCCGAACGCAAACTTGATTCCATCGTGGCACTCCATTTGCCGACCCACTCACACGTTGCAAGCCAAGTAAGGAACTCATCGAAATCCGCCAGCTGCAGCTGCAAGGAATTGTAGGTTACCAACACTGCTCGTGCTCGAAGACGAAAAGGGCGGGCATCACCTGTGAAAAATGTGCAACAATGAAGTGGCTGCGACTAGGACTCATGACTATACCCCTTCTAGTTCAGTCTCTCCCATCTGCATGCAAGGCTGAGGCTTGCCTACTGTCACTGATGCATGTCATGTCCATCCACTGCTCTAGGTCTCTTACCCTCCGGAAAGCACCGTCCCGGATGCAGGGACAGAATGGCAACTACTTGCGGTCTGACCTGGTCCTGGGGCTGCTGCCATATCCACATCCTCTTGGGTCGATGCTGCTGCACCAGCTTCGTCTGCTGCTGCAACGCCCTGCAAAGCTGATTAGAAACAGTGTGAACCAGAAGGCCGTGCAAACCCAGCGAATGGTAGCACCAACCAGGACGGCTGAGCAAGTCGCAGCAGGGTGAGAAATGTGAAAAGTGACCCGAACAACGGGTCGCAGTCTTTAGCACCCGACAAACAGGTGAGGCACCTCATAGAGGTCAATGATGTCTCGCAGCTTCTGAGTGTCACTCGGAGACAAGGTGCAGTTCTCCAGGCGCTGTCGTTGCGCTGCAAAGTCGGCGCGAGACAATTCACCCCGAAATTTCGGCACCTCGAGCTGGTTGGCTTGCAGCAGTTCCCGCAACGACCCGCACGCAGCACGCTTCCGTGTCGTGGAGGATCTCATGGCTCGGCCCAAGTGCAATGCGGAAACATCCTGTCTGCATGGCATGTCTTGGGTGCAAGGCTCCAATGCGATGTGCTACGTAAGTTGCTTGCGACACCCCGCTTTGCTGTCAGGTGGCCCATTTCCTTTGGAGAGGGCTTGACACTAGAAACAGCAAGGAACTCACCACCACGTCCTTAAAGCAGAATGCAGGTCACAGGCTTGAGCATGAAAAAAGCACATGGAGCAGATAGTCTGCTAGCTGGACGTGCATATGGCCCACAGGTCTGGAAAAAGCGTGTCGACCGTTGACACCCAGGAATGCTGCTGATGATTTCCGCTAGAGAAATGTGACTGGTAGAGGCACGTGTCTGAGTAGCAATATCTACAGAGACGGTCTGCCCCAGAAACAAAACCGCTCACGGCCCATGTTTTCACCCGACGTGACTGCAGTTCTCTCCGGCTGCCGCTTCGCACACGTGCGATCCACAGACGCCATGCTGCGACAGCACTGCAAAAAAAAGGAATGGAAGCTGGAAGAAGGGGTGGAAAAGAGGTAGATGTGATGTGGGAACATGGCCGCTGCAAATGATGGAATGGGAAGGATGTGCATGGGGGTCATGTCTCAAAGCTGCTGTTGCTGCTGCGCGCGACAGTACGCAATTACTATAGGCGGGACCGCAGCGGGACCGCGGCGGGACCGCAAAATGTGGGAATTCCCACGATTCCAGGTTGCAGGCGGGACCGGTCCCGCCGTCGGCGGGACCACTTTACCTGTGAATTTATAGGAGCGGGACCGCATACCCCGTTTGGGAATTATAATAATATACCAGGGGGGGTCAGGTGATGTTTTGGAGGTGGGGTGTGGGAAGATTCTTGGGGAGGTGATGTTTTGGAGGTGGGGTGTGGGAAGATTCTTGGGGAGATATCTTGTCTATCTAGCGTTGTATCCCTGGATGTCTTCTAAATGGGGTCTCTGGACCGCGCATGGAAGACATCCAGCTTTCACTCCTGCCGCGCTATGCCTTTGGCATTGGGATTTTCAGCCTTGACATGGTCTCATTCCAAGCGCTCTATGTCTTGACCATGGCGCTTGCAAGTCTGCGGTTGCCAGCTTTCCCTCCTAGTGTCCATGCCTTTGGCATGGTGCTTTCGAACCTTCACATGGCCGCTCTCACTCCAAGCGCTCTATGTCTTTGGCATGGCGCTTTCCACATAGTGCACGGCTTGACTCTACTCATGCGGGCTTGCCATTGGATGCATGCGACGTGCCAGCAGCCACGTCAAATCACTCACATCCAGCTTTCCTGCTTGTCGTAGAAGACGTCTTCGTTTCCTTTCCTGCAGGCTATGGAGTACATGTCTTTCAACATGGGTTCAGCGTTCACATGTCCCACCTGCACTCACGAAAAGACACCGTATCCATGCATTTACATGCACTCTCCTGGTTCTGTAGTTCTTTGGTGGCTGCTGCTAACTGGCGTTTCAAATTTTTGCGCTCTTCCTTCAGCACAGCAACCCTATCAGCCGCGGCCGGTGGGGCTGCAGCTGCCGCGGCGTTTGCATCAGCAGCGGACATGGCACTCAAGGCGGGCGAACAACAGGCTTGCTCCACTCAAACTGCATGCAGTCCTCAAGATGATCCTGTGTTCTCTTTGTGCTTGCCTGGTACCTCCTTTTCACCCCTGTTCACGACCCCAGAAACATGGCTACGAGAATGTGACAAAATGGTCATGCACCGATGTACCCTGATAGTATATATATTATATTTGAATATATTTTATATGAGATTATATTCACGCCTAGTATATACTATTATATACCTTTACTACATCCACTCTTCTCACAAAACTCTTCACGGATGCTGAGCGTCCCCACACATTGGCCACGCTACCCAACAGCAAGGCCTAAGATGATGGACTCAGCAGGAAAATCAGCTTCAGCTTCCACAAGTTTGGAACCTTTTTTCATCTTAAGTTTCTCTATTGCTATAATATGGGAAACAAGTTGAACACTTCCATTCATAGCTTGGCCAAATTCGAGTCATTCATAAAAGATAGATACATTCACTGGCTGGTGGTATACCTACCCCTCTGAAAAATATGAGTTCGTCAGTTGGGACTACTATTCCCAACCGAATGGAAAGTCATAAAATTCATGTTCCAAAGCACCAACCAGTTTAAGTTGATTTACCACATTTATAGTTGAAATTTACCTATTCAAAATGGTGATTGTCAAAAAAGCTTTTGGTATATTTACCAGAGGGTATATCCCATTAAAATCACCATGTTTGTTGGTTAAATCCCATTAAACCACCATTTTTCATGGTTTAAACCAGAGGGTATTATCCATTATATCACCTATAAATCCCTATAAATCCCTACAAATCCCTATAAATCCCCATTATATCCCAATAAACCATTATAAATCCCTAGAAATCCTCATGGTATCCCTATATATCCCCTATAAATCCCTATAATCCCATTAAAATCACCATTTTTGTTGGTTAAATCCCATTAAACCACCATTTTTCATGGTTAAACCACCATGTCTGACCATTTTCTGATGATTTACCGACCTCGGAGGCCCCACCTGCAACGCATCTTGTCGTTGAAAGTCAAAAACCTCCTCGTCGCTGGCTCGCTCAAAGCCACCACGGATCATCGCCTCAATGGGGCTGGGAAAAGCATCCCCAAATGGCGTCACCACATTGGAAAATGGAGGGTTTTCATGGGAAAACCATAGGAAAACCATAGGAAAATGAGGACTTATCCTCTGGTAAACTAACATAAGTAATACATAACTATGGAAAGATCCACCATTTTATAGCTGGGTAAATCAACTAGAAAAATAGCCATTTTCAATACATATGGCATATGGGTCATTATTGGCTGGTTGGTGGTAGTATACCTACCCCTCTGAAAAATATGAGCCAGTTGGGATGATGACATTCCCATACATTCCCAATAGATGGAGAATAAAAGCCATGTTCTCCAAACCACCAACCAGATTGGGTTTAGCACATTGGCAGAATCTACGTCGTGAACTGACCATATTGCCTGTGGAAAATTGATAAACGACATTAAAACATTAAAGTATGCGGGTATTCCTTGATGAATAAATTGGTTTCTATGGCATTGTGTGTTTCCAGATCCTTTTGGTTATAAACTTTAGCTGAATGTCCAGTTCACCAGCCTGTCAGCCCCAATCTTACAACGGCATCCCAATGTGACAGCGCGCCCAGGTTAGTCTTGCAACCGTACCCCCAGGGGTCACAGAAATCACAGAAATACTCGTGTTTCCGGAAAATTCACCGATGAGTGTATCAGGTGCTTTGGTTCGATCTTGGATGATCTTGGCATTTCTGCTTAATAGATCTTAATAGGATCCTAGTGTCCATCCCAATACTTCGGTGTGAATTTCGGAATCTGCTATTACTTGAATCATAAATGACATGCTGGTTGGTGGTATACCTCTATAACCCTCTATATACCCCTCTGAAAAATATGAGTTCGTCAGTTGGGATGATGACATTCCCAATAAATGGAAAAATAAAACATGTTCCAAACCACCAACCAGCATGATGTTTTTTTTCGCACGACCATCCACCAACATGCTCGAACTAGTTACCATTACTCCCCTGACTTCCCCTTCGAAACGAGTTGCCATTCGCTGTGCGGAGAGTGCTACGCTGGGTACCTACAGGTCGGAATGGGCATGAGGGAAGTCTGCGCCGATCTTCGAGGGATCAAGCGTTTGGTTGGTAACCCCCACAAAAAACAAGACAATGGCAAGTGATATAACAGTGATGATAAGTAATATGTATATATATAACGGATCTAGTTGGAAACAAGACATGGCTATGTTAGTCATAACCAGAGGGTAAATCTGCAATCATGTCCGCATGTTGGCTAATTATGTCCATTCCAATGCGGCTGCGGGATTACCCTCTGGTTGTGACTAACAGTCACTAACAGTTCGCCATGGTATAGATGGCCCATTTATAGATGGCTTACCCATTAAAAATGGTGATTTTCCATGGCTATGTTAAATAACCAGATGGTATATAAGCAACATCATTCACACATTCCATGCATTGACTACAGGAAAAACAACAGGAAACCTCAGGAAACGTGAATGATAATGTCTGCTCCCCCAACTCCCTCAAACACAGTAAACCCAATGTGTTTTGCACTTAGACCAATTCCCAGTAGAATTTGCCCACCTGGTATATCGAGGTAGAAGGCACCACGCCTGAATGGGACCGTCAACTGCGAATAGAGGATTGTCTTTTCCCATGCTTGCTGAGTTTGCTGACCATAAAGAGTCATATATAAATTCAATCATGTGTGTGTGTGGTAAGGCACATACTTGGTTTATTTGCGGATCTAATATTATCTTTGTGCGCTTGGGCAAAAATCTAGCGATTCCCTTCCAGCGTGTCAATTTGATACTTTATCATCCCATTAAGTTAATACGACCCAAACATCCACCAAGGGCTTTTTTGGTCTTCCCAAATTCACTTCCGGCAAGTAGCCGAACCATGCGGCAGCGATGGTGATATGGCATATCTATGCATATCTGATATTAGGTATGCCAAACACAATACACATCAAGGAATATACCCTCTGGTAAACTAACATAACTATGGAAAATCACAATTTTCAATGGGAAAATCCACTTATAAATGGTCATTTTCAATAACTACAAATTGCAAAGATGTACCTTCCAAGAACCGAAACCCCACAAATCCGTTGGCGCTCTCAACCCATCTTAAATCTTGATCCATACCCTCATACCATCTCATACCCGCCAGCTGTGTCATTGCTATCATATACCAATTTTAAGGCTAGGCATATGTTCATTGTAGTTGGTGAATCACCATTTTATGCTTGGTGATGCAAATCCAAATAGACTCCCGATGTTGTCGATGCTAGTTATATGATCAAATCATACGACGCAATAAAGATAAACAATGATAATCATCATTTTTTTCAGGGACGGGTTGTATAAACCATGCTCAACTGTAGGTTTATCATGTTTTATCATGACCATGTCACAACAAGCAACCATAACTAACCCATACACACCCATATTTGGACCCTCAACTGACAACCATGGGTTAAAAGTACACAACATAACAAGTAAATACTCATCATAAGGGACACACATGGACACAACATATCAAGTAAATACAGTACTAAAGCTCAGTATTGCAAATCTTGTTGTCAGTATACCTTTATGGATAAAAAATGAAAAAATCCTTTCTGGATACAGATCAGTGTCGCTTAACTGCAAGTTGAGGCTCCCGGTATCGATCAAAAAATCACTAAAGCTTTGCAACTGCCAAGCCTTCTTGCAGCGCGGCTGCTAGTGCGCGATCCTCTGGCACCACCAACATGAGGTTCTGTCAGTTAAAAAATTGGATGGGGATTCGGATGTGGATTCCAATTCATCAGCAAACGAATGGACTTTGCCCCAGCGAAACATATTTTAGATGGAAGTGGGAATCAACATCTTGATAAACGTTGAAATTTCGATTAAATCAATACCAATATGGATTAATTTCTATAAACAATATCAACATATATCGGGATATATATATATATATATCGGGATATATATATATATATCGGGATATATCAGGATTCTGATTATAGACGTAACACAATCAACTGGATGAGCTGACAAGTTGGACACCACCACAAACCATCAGCTCGTCGCTTAGTGACCGACCATCAAAATGTCAGCAGCGGTGGCGACCGCCTGCCAGCCGTCAGCCGCAGTGCAACCCCAGGGAACATCCCTCTGGTTATGACTAACATAGCCATGATATAGATGGCCCATAGAAATAGATGATGTTCCCAGCTAGAAACCTCCATTTATGGTTGGGATTTTCCATGGCTATGTTAGTCATAACCAGATGCTATGTGGATTCATGACAGATTTCACCTGCAACAGGGATGATTTCCGTATTTTCTTGGAGAGTGAGTAACTTTCGTAACCATCCGCAACCTTCACTATACATTCATTATTTCCGTGTCATTTACCCTCTGGTAAATTAACATAGACCCTGAAAATGACCAATTTATAGCGGAAACTAGTCTTCCAACCCCTATTTGGCAGGGTCTATGTTAATTTACTGGAGGGTACTTCCTTGAATTGTGAGAGTTTACCAGGATCTGAAACTAAAACAAGCGAAATATGATGAAATATGCACTTCACCCAGAGCTCCTCCATTTGCTCTGCAAGTTGGGCGCCCTCTGTGCCTCATCCCCGCAAATGGAGGGTTGAATGGCAAAAACCATATAGGAAACTATAGGAAACCACGGGAAATACGGAACATCCCCTATCAATGGAGGTTTAATTCGCTGGGACAATCCAACAAATAAATGATGGATTTTCCATGAAGTGTATATAGTACAAAGCCTGGCTGTGTCATATGCAACATATTAATTTGGGGAGATGTGACCCTGACATTTTCCACACAACCCTGACATCGCGACCTTCCATAGTGCCCATCTGGACTTGAAGCCAAACGACCGCCCCATAGTTCTGTATTAGCAAGAGCCCTAGCATTACCCTCATGTTCCACTTCAGCAGAGGGCTTTACGCAAGGGACTCTTCAAGCACATTTCTTTTACCGTGAAGGGGTGTGGCAATAGACAGCTAAGAGCGGATGGGCTGCAGGTGCATGAGGAAATCTTGCAATTTTCACGCACTTGGAAGTGACATAAAATCACGGGTTTTTCCCTCAATTTAGCAAGGAATAGAGATAAATATGTGTCAAATCACCGTGTGCCAGTACTGTAATAGAGCTCGCATGACAATGGGTCAAGATTAGTTGGCCATATACATCCAACCACGATAGCTGCTCAGACCGAACTGTCCTGGATCGAAGCGATCGAGTCTTGATTGATCGAATGGCCTTGTGTGGCCCGGATGTAGATCTTCCGCGGGCACACTTGGAAACGCAGTTTGGTGTTCTTCGCAGCGACCGAAGCACCTGTCTCCCTGCGTCGCGTGCCGGAACTCCGGGAGGGTCAGGTTAGCGCCGCAATATCAGGCCTTGATGGCATAACCTCCAAATGTGCAGACCACATCCTTTCACGCACTTATATATCAGGCATTTTTGTTGATCCCTTTTGATTCTCATTGAAGAGTGAAATCAATCGCTGCTGCTCCCCAAAAAAATAGTAATCATGGATGCATGTTTTCATATGATGATTAATAATATTTTGCAGGTGGTCAATAGTGAGCATCTTGAGCCTTGCCCACGTGAACCATCTAAGAATGCACAGGGAATGGAGGCATGATCAATCAACCAGCTTTGAAAGTATATACTTTGTGAAAAGGCCTTGGGAAACGATCACTTTGCAAAGGTGCCAGTTAAGCGAGAACTGAGAAGTTCAGGGTAATGTACAAAATAAATCAAAATAAAGATCCTTCGGCCAAGCAAACAGTTGAACGATCTTGAGATACGTTCCAACACTGTTCTTAAGAGTAATTCTCCCTCCCAGCAATCAAACGTGGCAATGGAAAATCACCCATTTCTTTAGTTGATTTCCCACTAAACCCTCATTTCGTTCAGGGATTTTCCGTGGCAACTGCCACGTTTGGTTTTTTGGTGCTGCCAAGGGGAAGCACCGAGCCGCCCAACGACTCGCAACGGCTCCGGCGGCCTATGGCCATGTCGGAACATCCACCAGAAAAACAAACATGAATCAGCAACAAAGTCTTGGCAAAAACTTCAGCATAAAAACCTGTTTGTGGATGAACAGACATGGGCCCAGAAAAGTGCTTGTCGCCGAAAAGTGGAAGCTCCAATTGAAGATTTTTTAGTCCACGACATCCCCAGCACATTCATCCAACAAAGTGCCCAGTTGATGACTGCAACCAATCATCATTTCAATGGGAATTTCAGGATCCTAAAATGGAGGTACTGTACCATATATGCCCTTACATAAGCCTTATATATGGTAGATACCTCCAATTTAGGTTCCTGAAATGGCCATTGATCATTTAGGGATTTCCTAGCAGCTTTGAAGGCGAGACTGCAACCAGGTGATGATCTCTTCACTGTCTTTGATTTACTTGGTAGATTCATGTTTGGCTGTGTCTGAAAATAGTGTACCCCTAAATCCATTGGATGATCATCATTTTCTCTATATACATGGCTATAATTGGGGGTATCCTATTAAAAAAAAAAAACGTTTCATGGTTTATCATGATTTATCCATACTTCATGGTTCACCAACCAAGGTTTTGCGATGCTTTGGGTATTTCTCAGTTATTCCGACAAAAGCTGCTCTGTTGGATGGTTTCACCCGTGATTTTCTGTGGCCCGACAATACATCCCCAACTTGATTGACTTTGAATATTTCATCCCAATGAATTTGGCCCAAATTTCCCCAGTTTTCAGATTATTCCCAAGTGTTTTGACAGACATCCCAATGACCTTGGTTTTAGATCATGTCTGGGATTTTCAAATTATGTCTGACATACTTTTTTTCATCCCATTGACACAAATCCTCAGCTTTGGATGATCCAGCAGCCCCAAGCCCAAAACCCGGCCTGCTCCAAGATCTTCCGCAGTTCCTCCCTTCGAGCGCCTCCTTCTGGATAGATGGCCTCCGATGGCACCGGAAATGACGATTTTTAGCTGATGAATCACAGCCTGACGCGGTTTTGTTTCCGTTCTATTTGGACAACTTGGTATAAGAACTTGGTACAGGGTTTGTCTTTTGCAGTTGCAATCAACAGTGATACAGAATCGTCACAAAGATGGTGCAAAGGGCTAATGGTCCAATTTCTCCAAGTGTTGTCTATCTTGGGGTTGTCACAGGTAGATCCATCGGTACATCCATGGATTGAAATGTGATTTGGCAACTTTACTTGGCACAAATTCGTAACAATCCAGGCTTTGTTTTACTTTGGTATGTAGGTTTAGATCATGTTTGAAACCTCAGTAAACCCCAAACCTGTTCAAGGCAATCTTTCAGAAGTTTCCTAACGCGAAGAGCCATGTCGGGTGACGTCAGCCATTTTTTAGGTGTTGAATTAATGCTAACGACACATTGCTGAATTGCTGGCTGAATTGCTGAATTCCCACTAAAAGATACCAAAAGTGCATCTTGATTCGAGATGTTTTCTGAGTTTCGTGGTGTCCACCGCTGCGAACAACATTAGTCATGCTGGATCGTCATCCTACCCTCTGGTAATTTAACATACAGTAGCTATTGAAAATGACCATTTATAGTGGATTTTCCCATTGAAAATGGTGATTTTCCATAGTTATGTTAGTTTACCAGAGGGTAAATGAAGATCATAGCAGACATATTGGCAATGTTGAGAAGCCGCGGCGCCTTTTTCAAAACTGCCTGGTGAAGAACGAGATTCCCAGAATGGATTATGATAATCCAGAATATATCAAGGGCAATCTATATAATTATAATCCCATATAACCCCATTTACCATCTGGTAAACTAACATAGCTATTGAAAATGACCATTTATAGTGGATTTTCCCATTGAAAACGGTGATTTTCCATAGTTATGTTAGTTTACCAGAGGGTAATCATCAAACAACACTGGCTTTGAACCTTGTCTGATGATTGGTTGGTTACTATCCCCATAAAATATCCCAAGGAATTCCCATTAAATCCCTAGTGGTTCATAGTTTTAAAGTATACGTGAAGCACCAAAAGCAAAAGCGTCGCTTCCACGGCCTCTTCCAAGACACATCTTTCGCAGGAGCAGCGGAAGCCGTAGGCCTCCTCAGAAGGGAATCATTTTGCTTCAATGTGCATCCCGTGCTGGGAAATTCCTGAACCAAATGGTGGTTTCATGCTGGGAAATTCATTCAATTATGGATGTTCAACGGATGTTCATGGATTTTCCAGCATCTTTGATTTTCAGAGGGTAGTCCATGCCATGCTAATCCCATCCCCCGTTCATTTTTTGAAGTAACCCCTGAATAATCCCAAATAAGTGTAAATCCCCTATCAAACCGTGGTTTCTTTGGGGTGTCTAATATTTTTTGGGGATGGGGATGGTATTAATTCAAGACAAATATGGTTTTGAAGAAATGAATCATAAACAAAAATGAGAGTATATACTAGCTATAAACCAACAATACTGGAGATGTCATGGGCACACAATGACAATGGAATAGAACCAATAAATTCATAAATTACTCTTTTTTTTTCGTTTGAAAATGGGTAGCAAAATCAATTGATTCATCATCACATTCCTCATCAAATGGTATCTTCCCAGCATGCCCCACTTTCCGGCAATGCCATGTATATATATCCCATAGGATCCATGTATGGTATATATACTAACATTGGGGGTATATTGATGGTAAATGTTACCATATATACCATACATGGATCCTATGGGTATATATATACACATAATATGGTCGACTCATGCTGGTACCAGGTACCAATGAAGCCACAGATCCATGTGAATTTCACAGATCAAACCATCCATTTTTCGGGGAAACTACCGCAGGGGACTGCCTTAAAGGAAACTAAAAGTGTGATCACGGCCAATAGATAGCAAAGAAGCTAACAAGCTACTTCTGTTTCAACAAGTATATGGATAACTTCAGAAATGCCAAATATGATCATACTATCTATCTATCTATCTATCTGTCTAGTCTAGTCTAGTCTAGTCTAGTCTAATCTAATCTAATCTAATCTATCTATATCCTATCCCATCTATCTATCTATGCCATATATATATAATCATATACATACATATCATCCATTTATAGATGGGATTTTCCATGAAATTTTTACCAGCGGGGATTCCCAATGGAGGGCCTACCAGCATCTCCCAGGCTCCCAACCAGCGACTCACGTCGATGCCACAAGGGCCTGGGAAATGCCCGACCGAAATGGAGCTTCAAATGGGACAATTATCTATAAATGATCTACTGGTTCGTGGTTTCAACATGTTTCAACCTACCCCTCTGAAAAATGATGGAGTGAGTAACAGTTGGGGTGAAATGACATTCCCAACTGAATGGAAAGTCATAAAAACCATGTTCCGAACCACCAAGCAGTCTATAAATGATCTATAGATGATGGATTCTTCATTGCTACATGTGATTACCGGAGGCTAATTGGTGTTGAGAAATCAGCAGGGAACCCAACGTTTTTTTCTGCAAGGACCATGCAAAAAATGGTTCTGTGTACCTTATTATAGACCTGCATTACAATGCGAATACCTAGAGGATCATAACAAAACAATATCACCATGATTGTTGATTCGTGATTAAGATTTAACATTGTGATTGAGAATGTAGCCATGATAGCCCGACCAACATTGGGACATTCTGCTTACATTCCATCAATTTCCATTGTGTCATTGTATTATCTCATTCTACCTCATTACTATTAGCCCATTCTTCCATATATAGTTCCATGAAAATTCATTTTATAATATGTTATAATGTTTTAAAATTTGCTTTAATGTAGCACCAACTTGATGGGGGCCCCTCCAATGACCTCCCTTGTTCTCACAGAAGATCACTAAACCCCTGATGTTGGATGCTTCACATCTTTTTTTTGGGGGGCAGTTCCTCAATGTTCCTCACCAGTTCGACTCCGAGGTACTGCAAGGTCTCCACATAGCCTGCGCTTGACCGGAGAGGTCCCCGAGATTGTGCTGCAAAAAGTGGCTTCATATCATCAACAGATCACCAACAGATCTCATCATTTCCAGCCGAAACTAGTCAGATACATCTAGATAGCCTCTGGTCATGACTAACGTAGCTATTGAAAATGGCCATTTAGATCCACTTAGTGAATTTACCCAGCTAGAAAATGGTGATGTTCCATAGTTATGTAAACGTTTACCAGGCCGGGTACCCTAAAGTCTATTCAGGTATCCTTTCAGGTTGATGTTTGGGGGATGAATCTGAACCTTCCCATCCTTCCGCACTGCTGGGTCGGCCAGCAAAAAACCATTCGGAGAGTGAATATCCTTCAGCTTGCACCCCCTTGTTCGAGTTTCTTTAGCTGCATCTTTGCAACTCTCTGACTTTGCTCCTCTCAAAATAATTATTGCACATCATCACTTCATGATTTCCCCAAGACATCCCATGATGGTAAAATCCCAATTATTGGTTGTCAACCCCTGTTTTGATGGTCACACATTTCCTGTCTTCGATGTTTTTCTTTTAATATGTGGTCAACTCCCTTAGTCGACATCCATGGATTATCATTCGTTGAACTGTCTACACCCCTGTTTTTTTTGCTTTATACTTTATACCTCCATGATTCAATTATTCATTGGTCAACAATGTGAAATGACAATTTTCCATCTCTCAATTCCCAAAAACAAATCCCTATGTCAGCATATGTCAGCACCATTTTTCATGGTTAAATCTGATATGGCACCACTTTTTATTCGTTACCCTCTGGTAAACCAACATGGCTATTTTAAAAATATATATATATAGACGATGATAGACGATGATAGATGATGATAGATGATTTACCGAACTTTAGAATGGTGATTTTACATTATTTTACAATATGTTCCATAGGTATATTTGTTTACTGGCTGGTAGCTCCCATTCTATCCCCATCATATCACTGTAAATCCCTATTAAAAAAAAAAATGAAACCCTCTTTGGGGGTCTTGTCAAAAGGTCTAGCACATCCATTGCCCCGGCGCCGTCGAAGAGTTCTTCGCCCTCTTTCAGGTCCCGGCCTGGATGGGCAAAACATGGGGAAAAGCATAGAAAACCATAGGAAAACCATAGGGAATATGGTAAATCGTCTATACTATACATCGGCCATGGTTTCCATAGTTTTTCGTATGTTTGGACGGTATCCAATAGCTGGGGATAACAAGACTAGGTGTGATCGCTGTACACGTAAGCCATACTATGTAGATCATATCAACAATATCTATGGTTGTTGTCACTTTAATGTAGCTGGGGATACAAAGAATCAATGCGGATAACAATAATGTGGTAAACCCAATACCATAAACCATTCCATTAGCCATTAACCAACCATTTCGGAGCCATTACACATCATCCCCACATAGGCTACATATGCATATTTTAATACCTAATAGTAAAGCCCAAATTGGGGATTGGTTTTTAATGGTCCACATAACTATCATACGGATAGTCAATGGACAAAACGAACTAATGTGGACATACACAACATGGCTTTACTAGATTTATTATTATTCCAACTATAATATATATATAATACTACGGCAAAAGCCTGAGGTTTGCCCGGACTCGCAACGAGCGTCCGGGCAAGCCAAGATGAGGATGATGATGATGATGATGACGATGATGACGACGATGGTGATGATGATGACGATGATGATGACGATGATAAGGATGATGATGATTTCGATATCTTCTTGAAACATCTTGAAACCGCAAAAGAATCCCCAATGACTGTATGATTAATTGTTCCATGGGGCCGAGGGATTTTGATATCTTCTTGAAACCCTAAAGAAACCCTAATGACTGTATGGTTAATTGTTCCATGGGGCCGGGGGACTTTGATATCTTCTTCAAAGAAACCTAGAAGCAACATGTTTTGCTTGACACCCTAGCAAAATAATTGAGCATAAAATCCTTCCCTTGACGTCGTACAGATTTCCCTGATATTTACGCATTTCTGGGCTTGGGCAAACCTCGGGGTCTGTGTGTAATACTAGATATACGTAGATATGAATCCCAAGTAACAAACTCCCAACTAGTAGGTTTCAATACCATGATACATTGGGATAATTATCAACTGTACTATACAACAACTATGTTTGTTTGTTTGTTTGTTTGATTGTTTGTTTGTTTGTTTGTTTGCCTGTTTGTTTGTTTGTTTGTTTGTGTGTTTGTTTGTTTGTTTGTTTGTTCGTTCGTTCGTTCGTTCGTTCGTTCCTTCGTTCGTTCGTTCGTTCGGTGGGTGAGTGGGTGGGTTGGTTGGTTGGTTGGTTGTTTTTTTGTTTGTTTGCTTGTTTGTTTATATGATGATAAGAAATGATATGCTTCATAATTATCCCAATGTATCATGATATTGAAACCTACTAGTTGGGAATTTGTTACTTGGGATTTAAATCTACATATATCTACGTACCGTATTAAATTTTGGTTGGAATAAGAATAAACCAAACAAAGCAATGTTGTTTATATTACGGATCTAAAAAGACAATCATGATTGTATAATTTAGTCCCTAAATTATGGGATAAATATAACTAACATATGTTTGTATACCCCTGTCAGGGTGTGGCTTTGTCCACAAATATAAGGATATGACTTGATTTAATCATCAAAAAAATATCCTCAGTTGAATGCCATAAACAATAGGGGCACTCTGGCGCAAGGGAGTTTCAAACCATTAACATCTGAATATCCCATTATCAAACCAACTCAGAATTGACACAGTTCAAAAAAGGTAAAGTATTGAAAACATGATACATAAGACACGGGAAAACATTTGAATTCATGAGCCCCCTATCTTGAGATATACTGTGACTTATCCATGGTAACGTTGTGGCATCAGATGTTGCAACAAACTTTGAACGGATCAGATGTGCGAGAAAACCGAGATCCCCCGGCCGGCGCGAAGGAAGAGGCAATCCAAGACAATGATTCGTTGGACCTCAGAAACGGCCGTCAACAGAGACCAGAACGTACATGGCGAGAGCCGCATACTATCCTTGGGCCATTTGATACATTTTGGTGTTTTTATGATTGAGTACACACACGTTGGCAACTATATTATCCCATCCCCCTCTAATTAAAGACCCAAATGGTCCCAAATAATTATCTGTAAATCCCTTACTAAACATTACTAAACTATGGTTTTGTGAACTGTGTGTGGATCATCTCTAACGCACCAAAGATCAACAAACACGGCCATGAAACATCTCTGTATCCAATGCAGGACGACAGAAACAATAGAACACTGACAAATCATATAAACTCATTTTACCTACAATAGTGGTGATATCCAACATTATCCCAGGCATTCCCAGGCATAAAACTGAATCATTGGGAATTTCGATTCAATCTATACATCGCAGAATATTTTTTTTTGGAACATTTGGAGCACGAGAAGATACTCCATTTTCCAACCCGTAGCCAATATTTTTTTTACACCTCGATATGGTACGAGATCCATGCTACGGCCAGGAAGGTGGAAATCACCAAGAGTTCGCTCCAGCGCATGCTACCTGTGACAGGTGTTTTTTTCCACGTGGAATGATTCAAAAAAAATCAACGCAATAACGTCATGAACATTCACCAGAACTCAATTGACACATCATATTGTCTTCATTCTTGTCAAAAAGGGTGATGTACCAATTCCATCACAAAAATACAAGGAACACTATTTAAAAAACACTGATTTGTATCTATCATGGTTTCCGTTGGATACTCTACAAAAAAATGTTCGTATACAATCCCCAACAATTAAAGTATCAAATTCAGGCTACCTCGGACTACACGCAACTACCCTCAATTGATTATCATATATATATATATATAATATATGTATATATATATATAATTCCCGTACAATCATCAATCAACTGAGAATCATGAACGCTCACATGTGCGGAATTGGTTCCTCCAATGGATGACTCAGAGGTTTGAGTTGGTGGTATTCAATGGGTTTCACATTGAGTTTTTTTTGCAGCCATCAATCCAGCGCAAATCACCAATTATATACATAATAAAAATAAACCATCACCAAATTACCGCTTGTGACACCACATATTCCACTAGTACCGCGCAAGGCGGTGGCGAAAGTTTCAAACATAGAAAACCTATAGGAGAGGTTGGTTGTTGTGAATCACAGATGGCAGAGCGAATCCACTCATGGACCAAAAAGTGAACAAAGTTATGTCTTTAGGAGTGGTTGCTATGGTTGCAGTCGTCACCTCACCACTGCTGGATGTAGTGTGGTATAGCGCAGTTGTAGTTGTAGTTGTAATGTAGTGTAGTGGAGTTGTAGTTGCAATGTAGTGTTATTAGTGTAGTGTAGTTGCAGTTGCAGTTGCAGTTGTGGTGCGGTGTCATTAGTGTAGTGTAGTGTAGAATAGTGGTAGTGGTAGTTGTAGTTGTAGCGTAATGTAATGTAATTAGTCTAGTGTAGTGCAGTGTAGTTGTAATTAGTGTAGTTGCAGTTGTCTTTGTAATTGGAGTTGTAGCGTCCAGCAGTGCAATTAGTGTTAGTGTAATGTAGTGTAGTTGTAATTGTAGTTGTAGCTGTAAAAGTAATTGTAGAATTGTGTAGTAGTAGCTGTTGTTGTGGCATTTGTTGTTGTAGTCGTTGTTGTTGTCGTGTAATCAGCGCGGCGTAGTGTAGTTAGAAAAAAAGTGATTTGTAGTGTAATTAGTGTCGTGTCGTTGTAGTTGTAGTTTTAGCTATCTACCCATCTATCTATCTACCTATCTACCTATCTACCTATCTACCTATCTATCTATCTATCTATCTGTCTGTCTATCTATCTATCTATCTATCTGTCTACCTATCTATCTATCTATCTATCTGTCTATCTATCTACCTATCTATCTATCTATCTATCTATCTGATTTAATCTAATCAAATCGCATCTAATCCAATCTAATCCAATCTATCTATCTATCTGTCTATCTATTCTATTCTATTCTATTCTATTCTATCTAATCTATCTATTCTATCTAGTCTATATATCTAATCTACCTGATCTATCTGATCTATCTGATCTTTCTAATCTATCTAATCTGAAGTTTGACTTCTAAACTTCCTTCGACAATATAGCTTTACACCAGAAGCTAGGTAGAGGTTCCCGCGTCGTAGGTTTTTGCCCAGCTGGCGCTTCCCCCAACCGAACCGCCTCGTTTCAGCGCCAGCGACGTCCCAAGCCCCGCGGCGGCTGCTGCCAAGCGCCACACCGCGTCGTAGCAGCAGCGCTGGCAGCTCCTAACGCTACTGGCGTCGCCGCAAGGCGGGAGGGGAAGCAGGGCCGCGAAGGGCGAGAAGGCCGAAACCTAGGTTGGCAGCGGACCGCAAGGAGGAGGGGTTGGCAAGAAGGAGGGGTTGGCAGGTATGATTTCTGACCGTAGCTCATCGGTACAAAATGAGGCGAGTGTAGCACCACCCATGAAGCATGGGTTTATTTGCCGTCCATACCTTGTAAAGCTACAAAGTTAGCTCCAATCAAGATTTTAATTGCGTCAAAATTCGGGTATGGATCGGCCCGCGGTGATCCAGACGTATGGATCGGTCTGGATCACCTGCGTGTTGATATGGATCGGGGGTATGGATCGGCCTGTGGGTTTAGGGTATGGATCGGGGCTTTACATTTTGACTTGTAGCCATAAATATATATGTATACATTTATATTATATATAATATATTGTATCCCACCCATCAGATTTAGGGTTTGGACCAGCAAACAGTGCGTCTGAGTTGGGAAAGGAAGTGATGCGCTAGGTGTTGGCTTCTGGTTTGCTGCAAGCGAACAAGAATGCTCTAAACGAGAAGCATGAGACTAATGTTTCTGGAGTTGTGGCATCCGTTTTTTCAAGCAGCCACAGCCGTGTCGGAGGAACTATGGATGGATGCGCCATCAAACCTACTGAAGCCAGCTACAAACCAACGTAGCAAAGTAGGGCGCCACCAATGCTGGCGGATTAAAACCTTCGTGCGTCCTGGTCCTGGTCCTTGGTGGGTCCAGTTGCTTGCTGCGACCACCATGCAATGGAGACAGAGTACCGAGTCGCACATATCTTCGCGGCTGATGGGCGGTGATTTCCAGCTTGGTAGTCTGTAGAAACCAAAAGCATCGTTCCAGTGATAGGTCAAATGCGCATTCCTCATGTGAATCTTCAAGGGTGGCATCTGGACATCATCTTGGCGTTTGTTTTTAAAGCATGCTGCATGCAAAATTCATAAAGTATCCTTCTTGGTGGGTTGGTCTAGTTATGCAGTAAATATATATAGAGGTAATATTAATATGACATAGCTTGCATATCTGGACAAACATGCCAACAAAGGGAAGTAGGGCTAGCTATAGCCGAAGCACTCTGGGGCCATTTCCATGTTCAACGGGATTCTACGACCATCATCGTCACCAAAGGTTTGTCCGCTTTCCCCACATCTGTGGATCCAGATGCCTTTCCCTTTTTTTCTTTCCAGCATATGAGTTAAACTCGTGCCGGGGCATAGTGATCAGCTTTCTCCATAATGACATGATACAAAAACAAAACAATTCATGGCGCGTTTCCGGAATTTCCCATTTGATGATCCTATTTTTCAGTGGGGGAGCCCTATCCCTTGGAGGCCTTATGTCTGATGGTTCCAAGCTTGGGTTCACCTGGATTCAGTATCGTTCTGTGCCATCTTGCTTGGTCATGCTTGAGAAGCCATACATGAAACTGGGGTATCATATAACTGGGCCATCATATGGTTGCTACCGTACCCACTACATGTCTAGCGGCATGCACATCCAAGAACCAAAATTGCACAATTGGATTCGAACAGCTAAAAAATCATATTGGTCATTTTTGGCTCACAAACACCCAGAAAGACAACATTTCTTTCAGGGAAGTCGTTGCTTTCTCTTACCCTTTACCCAACTAAACCAACTGTGGTACACTCACAAGGTGGGGCCCGACAGCAAAGTTGCTACTCTAGGGATCTAAGAAGATCAGTGGGTAGTGGGGTTTATGAAACAACTTATAACTGGGGGGGGCATCATAATGAGTTATGATTGTTATGATAAGCCATAATATGGTAGTAATTATAATTGAACCCTTGTAGTACCATAACCCTTGTAGTACCAACCCAACTGTTTGAAGTCTTGTTTAGTTTGTAACCGTAACCCCAACTGACAGGTCAGTTAAATCCCAATGTTGTATTGATGCAATGAAATGGGTCTGTCTGGAAATGGGGCATGGCCAGACAGAAATAATGGACATGACGACATGAACCACGATTTTTAGGGGGTCCTGCCCTAAATGCTCAAAGAAATCCACCTGGTTGCTCAAGTCAATAATCCATGTGAACAATTTCTGGTTGAATCCCAATGTTTCATGATTAAAATCCCGATGTTTCCAGCTAAATTCATTGATTTCATCCAGATCTATATAGAGATTCCAAGCAAATGACGCCTCCGGGGCTGCAGCAAACCAATGAAATAACATGACATAACTATATGATGAGATGGAATCAAGCATCTTTATCATCAGTCAACAAAATACAAGTCGTAAGGCTTAACACTGCCGGAAACAAACAGATTGTGAACCATCACAGACAGGTATCTACCAGCAACAATCATTTCGAACAAAAACTTGAAATATGACCAACCAAATTGGTATGAAAGGCAACTCAAAGTGGGACGGCAAATGATGGACATGTCATAAATGAGACCTCTCTTTGATGATTGAATTGTCTGCGCACAACATGTCAACATGCCAAGCATGCCAACCCTTTCAATGAAACACAGAAAATCCCAGAAACGTAGTCTGACATGAGAACCATCAGAAAGATCGAACTGAAGGCGCTGGAAGCCACTGCCATTGTGACCGAGAGATCTGAAATGGCAAATTCCAGGCTCCTCGATCTGAGACGAAGAGATATGGAGGCTTCCTAAACTCGGGGGGTGGTGGAAAATTCCTATGGAAAAAATTGATGATTCGAAGGTACCTGCCCCCATTTTATAGGAGTCATATGCAGTGTACAATCAGCAGCTATAGTTTCCAACATCTGAGTGAATTGCAAGATATGTAAGTTGTGAGTGTTCCAATCATATCTTTGAGCGCCCGTTTCTGAAAGAACAGGGGGTGGCTTATCATTGCCTTCGCCACAGTACTGTAATTCCCCACGCCCACGATATAATCCGAGTCTCTTTCCAGTCCTCAAGGCGATCATGAATCCCACTATAAATCCCTATATTAAATGATTAAGTCATATTGAATCATGTCAAATCATATGGGCATGGGTCAAAATTTGGTACCCCAATCATTGGATGGTGAATACTAAATCAGCCTAAAACCTGTAGGTCTTGAATTTTGACCCATACCCATATTTCTCCAGTCCATTCAAAGCATCTTAAATCCGATGAAATCTACCTCCTGGCAAAAAAAAACACATGAACCCAGGTTTTCCATGTTTTTCTTCCGTCCTCAAGGCCATGATGGAGGTGGCCAGCAACCAATGCCTCCAGCGTGGACTCTTTCGCACCTCTCCGGGCAGCGGGCTCCGCCCGTAGGCGCGGAGCGAGTCGCCGGCCACCTGGCAAGGCATGCAGCAGGCGTCTGCAGCAGTTTGGTATACCAATTGGGAACTATATATGAAACGCTTGAAATCATGGGATTATAAAGGAATTATAAGGGAATCATGTGGGGATTATATGGGATATTATGGGAGTATAAGAGATTACGGTATAAGGGGGATAAACATGAATAAACCATGAATACACCGTCTAGCAGTTTTTTTTTAGGATTTCGCAACCATCCACAGGTGATAAATGGATGGGGCCCCCAACTGTTCGGAGAACTTAAGAGGTATGTTTTTGTTTGACCAAAATAAAATTCGGGTGTTGACCTGCAAACCTGCAAAGAAAGGGATCTGACCAGAGAAAAAATATGGACAAAAACAAAGGGACACGCAATGAAAACGGGTTGGTTTCTTCAAACTCTTCCATCTGGGGATGATGATCCCAACTTGACGACAATCATAATGCAACCACATGGCTGTTGGACAAGATCCTACCAGTGATCGACTAGAACTATCTAGACACTATAGCCCAAACTCTTTGGGTCCACACATGCAAAATCACTCTCTAAAGGTGGACGGCTTGTACGAAAAACAAACAAGGATTCTGAAGTGGGCTGGTGCTCGATTGGACTTATCATCCCATTTTTAGCCAGAGACAAACGGTTGTGCTTGTTCTACCGCGACTTTGGCTACCCATCCCCTTCTTTCAGTTTTTTTACACAGCTCCTGTATCGGCTTGACATTGGAAGCCACCACACCACCCCAAACAAAACAAGTCTCCAAACTTCGCCGCCCAGGGGCCGGTTTCCGTCGCCACCAGGCAGCACTGCTGGAATTCTTCTTGGTGAAGGTATAGGATGCGAAATCGATGGAGATCGCCTCGGTGGCTTCGAAAATCTTCGAAAGCCATGGTCGTTGTGGCAATTCGTCTGGCAGTTCTATGAAATGTAACGCAGTTCGTGTTGCATCTTGGGTAGTTGCCCTTTGGTGATCTATGCCCTCACTGACTCACGGTGTTTTTTGCCTGGAAAATCCCACCCATCAATCAACAGCCATGTTGTAATCGGAGGTGGACAGGGCGGGTTTGCTTTAAACAAGACACACGTGATTTCAATTGGCTAAATTCATCCAAGTTAACCATACATGGATGGCCCAGTGGATACTTTGGGAAGGGAAATCAGAAATCCTTGGGGCCCAATAACTTCGAATCCAGTTGCCAACCCACATCATATTTCCCAGACGCCTTATTTCCATCCAAGCTTCAATCACTATTCCTGAACCATACAAGCACATCAACATTGCTATCCAACTTAAGTTGCTGTCACAAAACAACGTGTGCACAGTGTACAACAAACAAGAGTCGCCACATTCGGCTGTCAAGGGGGTTAGATAAACAGGGAAACACTACATGTTATCCTCATATGTACTCTACAACAATATATTGTGTACACATATCACTTTAAGATACTTTAAGGATATAAAATCATTGAATAGAACTGCGTCTAACTATCTAACCATATATCTAAGTATATGCCCAATCACCAGGCCCCACGGATCGGATCAGCCCAGTGACCGTGGGAGCTTCTCCGCCCTTGTACAGCTCGCTCAAGGGCACCCCCATCAAGCCCGCCGCATCGTCATCACCGTTCAGGATCTTCATTACCAACGCCTGCTGTGATGGGAATGACCGGTGGCTTTTCGCACCATGAGAGGTGTGGGATGTTGACAGGGTGATTGGGTGATTGGGTGATTGGTTGAGGTTGGTAAAATAGTTGGAGATTCATTGTAAAGAGATAATTCTAGAGGTACAAACATGTAAATACAACATCCATGGCGAATTTTGGGTTCTGAGTAGACGATCAGTAAACCACCAAGCTATGGACCAATGCTACAACAACAGTTTACTTGGATGATCAGGGTCGTGACACTCAGGGATGGCAATAGGCATGTGTAGACGTTCCCATCGCAAAAAGTTGGGATTCTCACCGGGTGAGCTTAGGTTCAATAAAAATGACCAAAATCTTGGGATCCCAGGGCCCAGGGCATTTTGACAGACACACATGGATATAAAAAGCATTATATAAACACCTGCAAAAACACCAGGTTCCATGTGAAATTTAGGGGATGTATCTTCCAGAAAATCAATGTAGATATGGAAAACCCATGGCCTTTGCTAGGATATGATCCCTCAATGGTGGATTTTTCCGTAGCACTCAAGGAAACCATCAGAGAACCATCAGAGAACCCCAAGATCAAATTGCTGGCTACATTGGGTTAAAAACATACCATTGTATCACGATAAAACAGTAGCATCCTCATCATTAGACCTCATTAGATCACCATAGCATCACATAAACTATGATCTCCCGTATATCCCCACTTGATATGTCCATTAAAATCATGTAAGATCCCCATCAAATCACCATTCGAAATATCGTTCAAACAAAATCACCATTACAGTCCCAGTCAACCCATCAAAATCACCATCTCAAATAGTTCCTCAACAAAAAAACCGTGCCATATGGCAGTGTGTCAAAACCTTGTACCCCTGGTGAACATTAAAATACAGTAGCTGGTAAATGGATGTTCATCCCACTAAAAATGGTATTAATAGGTATTGATCCATAGCCATATCCTGCCATCCCTCCTGCAGGAACTCCGGCAGCTGCTGGTGGTACACCTCGCTGGGCACCTTTTTCGTCCACAGCTGCTCCAAGGAGGCCGTGACGCGGATCCAGGTCTCCCAATCCTTGAGCGATGGAGACATCTGGATGGATGGATTCTGCAGTTATGGCCTGAAATACCAGTTATGTATATATATAATATATATATATACAATGTATGATCCCATAGAAATAACCAGTCATAACTAATAGCCATGGCCATAACTTATAACTGTGATCATGGTGGATGAGAGATGATGAGAGGAAGCTTGGCTGACAGACTTTGAGCATTTTTTCCATGGATTCCAGGACCACACTGAGCGAAAAACATCTACTGGTTGGTGGTTTCAGCACCTCTGAAAAATATGAGCTCGTCAGTTGGGATGATTATTCCCAATATATGGAAAAATGTTCCAAACCACCAACCAGTCTATGTGATTTTGAGTTTTCGCGAAAAAAACTCTTAGCCCATTCCCTGATCAAACCTGTCGAGCATCCTGATCCGATCAAAGCATTATTGGGGTGGGGGTCGATTCCCCCTTTTTCTTAAGGAAAAACCTCCTCATAATGGACAACCTCAACATGACTTGAGCTTGTCTGAAAATGGAGTAACTGAGTATGCCCCCCAAATGCAAATTTTAATGGAGAAACTCGTGAAAATCCAGGGACCATCAGATCTCAAATCGAGCATCCAAGCGATAGTGATAGGGCGACATAAAGCAAGGTCTTCTCTCTAAACTGCCAGGAAGGCATTTGAAGTCCAAAGGCATCCACTGACCTGGTGCCGGCGATGGGATTTGACCAGCAAAAATGGTGGGTAAATATCCCAATATGTGATATGTTCAATATTATCTGGTTGGTGGTTTCAACCCCTCTGAAAACTATGAAAGTCAGTTGGGATGAGTATTCGCAATATACGGGAAAAAATGTTCCAAACCACCAACCAGTTCTTCATGATGGACATAAACGGAGATAAAATGGAGATGGAACCAACAAATAGGGGAGAAAATCATGGACATTACTTGGTATAAACCAAAGATTGGCCTAAAACCAATCTGTTCATGTCATTTTGACACCCTCGGCTCACCACCCCAACCTTCCCTCCTTGCCCCTCCTTGCCCAGCCACTTGCAGCGCTGGGGGTTGGATCGTGGGTGTACTGCAGCACCACCGTGACGCGGTGTTGGTTGATGAAACCAAAGACTCCCTGCAGGATCCAAACCCCAAAGTGGGAGTACCATCTGGTCATTGAACATAGCCATGGAAAACCCTTATAAATGGAGGTTTCTAGCTGGGAAAATCATCTATAAATGTGCCATTTTCCATGGGGATGTTAAATAACCAGAGGGTATACATATATATATATATTTTTTATATATATATAGTGTGAGTGATTGCACTGACACTGCTGACGCCAATTCGTCATGTGTTTTTTTTGTGAGTATACGCCATTGAAGAAGAGTTCAAACTCATTGTATACTGTATTCCTTTCATGTCTTTTTGCGCCATTGCCATGCTGTCTATTGACCCTTCCCCGGTTGGCCGAGGCTGAAATACTGCAAATGTTGGGAAATATAATCTCAGCAAAGCATGATGGAGGCATCAACAGGATCACAAACCTACATAATTGCAGCTGTACGAATGATACAAACGCACAAGAAAACAATATATACTTGAAAGATAACTTGCAGCACAACCGTATCAAAAGTATTCAAAAGTGCTATTTTTGTCTATCTTAGGACAGGGTCATATGGTTCAAGCCGCAATCCAACCTATTCGTTGGTCACTTTTTGTTTATTTTTGATACCTGATTCTCACTCACACCCAAATCTATAATTTTATAATGTCATTTCGGTATGTTTCAATTTTGTCGAACCAACACAAAGAGGCTTGCCCCCAGTGAAAAACACACCCAAAACCAGGCATCCGGCACCAAAAGCTTCCATCATCATGGTGCCCAGTCCATGGCAGTCCCCGCGCCTGTGAGTTCATCAAAAACCAATCGTCGTAGCTGTTGATCCATGGCGCAGGTCCATACAACTCCTCCCCGGGAAGCGATGGTTTAGAGTTTAGATTAGGCCCAAAGGAGGGAGAGCATCCTGGCACCTCATCCAATATTCATACATAAGCATACATACTGTGGATGGAAGAAATCCTGCATCACCTTGGATGGTTGAACCCCTATAAATATCTATAAATCGCATAAATCTATAAATAAGATAAATAATGGGATAAACCATCTATCAAGTGGTGCAGGAGTTCTTCCATCCAGAGTTTCACATTTTTTGTTCACTGATTTTGACTCATTTCCCACAGCTCTTCAGTGGACGAGGGAGCCCTGTTGGTCCTTGATGGGGTCTTTGGACTTGTACACCATGACCATCACAAGCAGTACATTGGCACACCAGCGCAGCAGTCCATAACCTTGGGAACCCACCACCGTCAGCAAACCATGGAATGGATTGGAATAGAGCAACTCCAATGCAAGTACTATACTTGTGTGACAACAATTAGTTATTCCAATAGTATTCCACTCATGAGTATTCCAATACCTATTCTAATACTACAAGTCATGAGCATTCTAATTGTTATATGTGTTCAATTGATTTATGATGGTTCATGATGGTTCATCTGTGATGACACATCCTGGCCCAGCGGGTCTTCGGGTGTAAACCATGTGATCACCTTGGCCCCTTACGACTGCGCATCCAGGACCGGAACCACGCTGCAAGAAACCCTCTTGTTGGGTAACTAGCTACGTGTATAATGTTACAACAATGCTTGCTAATGCTGGCATCCCTGTTGTATCCTGTTGTTGATTTTTTTTGAACTCTTCACCACCAAAATAAAAACCCACACGACAACATGGTTTGGGAAAATTGGGAAAACTGTTTTTCCTCTTGGAAATGCAGAATTTGATTCCCTCAAGAATTGGGTTTTTAAACTGTGATCTCATTTAAACTATGATGAAACCATATTAAACCACAATGTCTCAATCACAAGTTTTATATTAAACTACATTAAAACCATAGTAATATGATACCACCTGTTTTTTTTCCAGGGCAGGGGTCCCATCTGCGACCAGTGACCTCCCTTCAGCACCTTCTTGGCTCCGATCGCCTCCTCAGTGGCGACTGCGCCAGCGTCCTCCACGCATCGCCGCAGGCGCGACTTCAGGGGCCACGGCACCAGGAGGAGCAGAAAGGCGTCATCCAACCTGGGACCACAAGGGATGGTGGTTCCCCAGTGGCTGCAGGATGAAAAAATTGCATAATTTTAAGCTGGTTTCATTTTTTGTGTCATGTGGGACGATGGGCCCTGTACGGTTTGGAATCATTGTAGACTAAGAAAGTTAGAACCCCCCTGAACATTGGTGTCATTTATCCTCACTGCTGCAAGGAGGGGCCTTTTTGTGCTACCTGGGTGTTTGTCTTGACATGTTTCGCGGGGATCATCTCCATTACACTGTGGGAACTTCAAAAAACCGGCGCCAAACGTGCGGAGGTTTCCATCATGAAACACCGCAGAAATTGGATGAGCTTCCTAGAATGCCATCAGAAGCCACAAGACACGGTGAGGGAATGAACGCCTCCCTTTGATGGCATAAATGCATCGTTTTGTGTATGTTTTGTCTCTGATGAAAAGGTGCATCGGAAACAGTGGATAATTAAACAAAATTGTCGAAACTACTTGCTGACATCATGCAAAAACAGTTCAACTCAGTTTAACTCATCACAACTTCTCGAAGTTGGGCTATAATACCAGAACATAGCTTCCAGTGCATCCAGTATGCATGGCTTACTCCAGTGGAACCACCCCAAAAACGTTGTTTCAACTGGATTACTCCTGTTCGAATGCTCCGCTCAGAAGTGTGCTGACTTGATAATGTTGATATGTGGACGGCCAGCATATAAACACATATAATATAAGTAAGTATATATATATATATGTATATATATTGTGTTGTACGTATTTTGTACGTATATGTTAATCTATCTATAAAACAAATTGACACATATGTATTGGCATGCATACTGACATACCCTGACATATCCAATCATCAACAGCCCCTTTCACCCCCTGGGGGCCCCTGTTGAAACACCTTCACCAAGGAACATGGAGATGCACGGCAAGGCTCCGATGAAATTGATCCAGGCATAGTTGCCCGTGCCCACCTCAGATCCAGGGGACGAACTGGGACAGCCACTTTTCTCCATGGTACCAGAAAACCGGTAAGGTCAAAAGTTGGAATATCGTGGAAATTCATGGACTGTAGAACCTAAACTGGTACCTGATAACCTGATAGTGGTTCATATTCAAGAATCATTTCTAGAACTATCAGGATGTTCGGGGGGAAACAAAGGGCACCAGCATTTTTTTGGTTGGTGAATGTATGTTTGAACCATTGCCAACAATCAAAGAGAAACGATAACGTCGGAAGATCTGCTCGTGTTTAGCCCATATAAACTCATACAAATTCGACTTTGGGGGTGGGGTGGGGTTCATTTTCAGACCCAAACCCATAGGATCCATGTATGGTATATATGGTAACATTTACCATCAATATACCCCCAATGCTAGCATATATACCATACATGGATCCTATGGGAAATAAAAAGTTGGTTTAGTTGAGACCTGGACACATTCATCAACGTCCAAGGCGCAATCCCGGCTTGAAAGATGATCTCCAGCAGCCCCGCCAACAGGCGACAGCAGCGCAAGGGCACCAGCATGGCAAAGGGAAGCACCAGTTGTTCCACGAAGGTCAAGGCCACCTGTGGCTGTGCAGCACATGTTTCAATACATGTGTTTCAGCAAATAGAGCATATAGAATAAAAAATGTGATGTGATACCTTAATACCTTACAAACACCAAAAAAAATACAGTATGGTTTCGTCTGTCGAGGCGGGGAATGATCTCCCTGGTGATGCAAAGCCATGGGATAATATGCAGAAAGTGAAGCAACAATTAACGTCTATCAAGCTGTCATTCCTCACCTCAGCCAGTTGATAGTGAAGGGAAACATCGCCCCCAAAAAAAGATAGAATATATAGTTGGCGAATGCTTTAATCAATCTTCTCCTGCCATGTTCGTGGTGGTGCTTTTGGTTTACCTGGTTTACCCTTGGAGATTCGCCCAAGCTTTGCGATGGCCTTGGGTCGTGCCAAAGAAAATCCAGCTTTCAGCTAGTTTTGTCCCTCAACTGTTTCTCCATGAGTTACTTTTTGGGGTGATAAGAACTATGTGCAACCATTTTCACCACAAACGGTGATGCGGTGATGACCAAGAAATGTAGGACCCCCAAGGATTGTCATCCTCCCCACCTAGCCAACCTAGCCTCCATCCGGTGAAAGCTGTCAGGGAGATGATGCATGTACCACGACAGTGGGTTGGGGATGGGCTGCGTGAAGTAGTGCGTGGTGGTGCACGTGAGTTTCCGCCAGCATGCGCTGGAATTCCGGCCCACCTGGCAACAAGACTGGATCATGTTGGACCCTGTGAGGTTCCCAAAAAATTGCCTGCGGGCCTTGAAAACTGTGGTTATAGCAGTGCTCCAAATCCTCTACTTTCATCCCCCTAGAACCTCCGAGCACGCAGATTTCGGTCAGTGATCCAGATTTCTAACCGAAACCTAAAAGATCAGAAAGTAAATCTGAGCGTTCTTGACATGACACCAAATTTGCATTGTCTTGTTCAGTGCCGGCGTCGTTTTTTTGTGTGTTCGCATTGCGTTTCTCTAAGTGACTCAGAGTCATGATTCTGGCACACAGCTTTTTTCTAAGTGCTTCAGATTTCTAAGTGCACGCAAAAAACAGACTGTGATCAAGGTTCCAGTCCATTATATAATGTTGGTTCATAGGGATTCCCATTAGAGATATATATATATATATATATGTATACAGGTCCCATTAGTTCCAAGAAAGTACAGTAGGTAGTTTGTTTCCAACAACAATAACTCATCAACCAGGGTTTTGCTCATTGCTCAATGTCAAAACCTTTTTTCGCAACTTTACCTGATGCGTGCCTTGTAGTTCATGAGGCAACCCAGTCAAGTGCAAGTGGCATCTTGCCATCATGCTGAATTTTGTGTTCACATTCCGAAACGTATATATAAGGTAATATAAAGGTTTCCTAAGTCAGGTACCATAACTTAGTATATTGAAACAACTATAGTGACTTGGACAGGCATTCTCCAGGACTCAAGAAACACCCCGTAATCATCCATGTCATTTTCGGATTTTCCATTCTAAACCATCCTTACATTGGAGTACCCCCATTTTCGGAACGCCCCCATATCAAAAAGAAGGCCCAACGACTCGGCAACATAGCCCCCCCAAAAAAACGCCCACCTTGGACATGCCAGCACCAAGCAGCAATCGAAAGGCGCACCATCGAATCAACCACAAGACTAATTTGGAGGGTGGCGTCCAACTACCTTAGACCACCACATTTACCAGTTGTAAATTGTTATAACTGGTGATAAATGGGGTTGTCAGTCCGTGAGTGGGATTATAACTGATTCTATATGGACTTATTAACTTGCAAAGGGCCATAACTATGGGATAACCGTAGGAGGGCCTGGATGTGGATGTTCCCTTTGAAAATCTCGGAAACTGGTTTCAGCTCAAAAGAATGACTGCTGACATTGAGGAATGGATCATCCCTGAGGCACATATCATAGAGTTTACAAGTCATTAAGAATCGAGCATTAATGAACAATACATAACAATACTAATCTCAATGCAAAACTAATCACTTCAGGCCAAAGTGGCAAGAAACTTCTCAAAAACGTGTTCTTTTTAAGTTGCCCGTTCGACATTTTCGTACAGCCGTTGCCAGGACAAGCCTCCAGCCAGCCTTTGCCCAGTGGCTGAAGCGCGTCCCGACAACAGGGCACAGGAACATCACCAGGAAAGCCACTTCGCAGGTGAGCCATTCCCATCCATAGCTGAAGGTGAAGGGAGCCTGACAGCTGTGTCAGGCTGCATTTGACCCATGGAAATTCCGGGCTGTAAAAAAAAGCAACGCGAAACATATCTGGTTGGTGGTATACCTACCCCTCTGAAAAAATATGAAAGTCAGTTGGGATTATGACATTCCCAATATATGGAAAAATAAAACATGTTCCAAAATACCAACCAGCCATGGAGTTGGGATTGGGTGGTCATCCACAATGGAACTATGGCAAGGTATTCCATTGGATTCGATCCATGTATGGCATTCTGAATGGGGTAATGATTGTTGACATGCCAAGCACCATGGATAATCGTGGCTATCAAAACTTGTGCTTCACACAGTCATGGTGTCTATCTCCACAGTCATGTTTTTTCCAGATTTGCGTCTCCTTTCTGCCTTCTTGCCTTCCATCCTGTTCTATTGTTGGCATATGTTCCTCTTATGCCTTTTCGTGTTTCTCTTGATGCATTTGCATTTGTTCTGGCTGTGGCTTAAATGCGGCTTAAACATGTATATAATCGTGTGGTACCTATATAAAATTATATGTGTATATATAATTATATATATATATATCCATGTTTTAGGTTGCTATCAAATCTATCAACTATCCAGAAGAGAGATGACCACGTCATCCCAGCTGTCCGATCTCCTGCAGGTTGATGATGGAGAGGTAGGCGGCCCACAGAAATGCCACGAAGAAACAGCTCTGATATTTGCCCACCATCAGTTGTACCGAGAAGCTTACGCCCAGCCAGCTGACTAGCCTCAACACTTGTTCAACAACCAACACGACGAATCGAAGAACACAAGGAAGTACATCGTAGTGGCATGTTCACCTACTCGTTTATAATTAATGGAATAGAGGGAAAAAAACGATGAACTGAACTATGGATGGTATTACGGTATAACTCCAACTGATTTGGGGGAGCTTCCCTCTATACTCAGCAATCATTTGAAAATTGGAAACTAGATATACATGGGATATCTCCACTTATTAGCAATATCTTTCAATATCTGACATTGACTATCTATCTACAGTATCTATCTTATATAAATAATCTATAATTTTATCTAATTTGATCTAATCTAATCCAATCTAATCTAGCTATCTGCTTATTTATAGTCAGTATTACTCTCTGGATCTCCCTGGGACGTTCCGACTTGGCAACCAGTCACTCCAGCTGCCAGTCTCCATAGCCCAGCCCGATCACGTCGTTGAACAAGGGCGTGGGGCGACGGGAGCGACCCGGCAACGGGGAGAGGCCCAAGGAGCCCCAAAGGGCGCGATGTTGGACCTAAGCTGGGCCCCCGCTGGGCTGTTGAGAGCTGAAACCGACCAATTGGTAGATGGCGAAACTCCGTAGTTTTTTCTCGTGAAAATCCCATCCCATTGTGTACAAATATTTCAAAAGACAGGCTAACACTTGTTTGATTGTGAGGTAGACATTTGATTTGATACATGAATTTCGACACTATTCATGGGCAATGTAGCAAACACCTTAAGGTTGATAGAGATACTCGACTCTACTGGAGATGTTGAGCACCAGATCATGGGAATGACAGGGTCACACGTTCAACAACTCCCCAAATGTTTTCTTGGGTGTTTTTTTTTTAACCTACACCTATAGGGATGAAGTGGATGTTTGTGATCCCAAATGGATGTCAGCATCATGGAAGCTGAATGATGCTGATACTGATGATACGCTTATTTTGCAATTTGATAAATTCATTGTTGTTAATAGCGATTCTTTAAATCTCCTCAAAATCCCTTACAGTAAATCTCATTATATCACCATATTGTTGCCTATATCCCCTCAATATCCCAGGGTTTTGTACACCTGCCATCCGCCAAGAATCAGCTGATACCAGGAAACCGCAGAAGAAACACAGGCCCATGCCTGACAGAGAGATGGATTCTTGGAAACTAGAAACCGCGTTGATTCCAAGCCTAATTCTAGAGGCGTTTTGTTGGTAACTAAAGTCATCAATATATTTATTTCAACTGTTTCTTGATGGTGACCGAACCAACAATCTTATCTAAAATACACTGATCCTTCAAACATTATTATAACTACCTGACAGTACTCAAACAAATGTCAACATTAGTAACATTCAATAACATTACAAGTGCTCATAAGCAACAAAACCTTAAAAGAACACACACACACAGGTAGTAACGTCAATATTTTTTTTGGGTTAGAGTATACACCCCTCCCCTGCCCAAATCCACATTGCTTTTCCCACCTCTTAGCAGCAAATCCCGGGTGATCCACCAACTTTCCCTCAGCTCCACCGACGTCGAAGACTTTGCCGGTGCCATCGCTAGCGCCAGCGGCGTCACGGTGGCGCAGCAGGCAGCGGCCAAGAGCGGTGCAGCGTCCAACCAGTCGCTGAGGGAGAACTCGGTCGCCTGGATTTCATGGGGAGGTCAGGAAGAACATGGTATGTATAATTATATAAACAGGGGGGGTACCATATATATATATATATATATATATATATAGTACGTATAACTATATACACATCAACAAATGTTCACTATATTTTGTACTCTTACAGAACCCATGGACATCCGGATTCAACAAAACCTGGAGGTACCCTCGAATCCATGGGTCTTCTCCGGAACATCTCTATATTCTATGGAGTACCAGAAGCGATCAAAACATCCGGCCGCAACTCCGGGTCACTTTTTCTTGAACTGTATTAATGACCTTTAATATCCATTAACAACCAAATTAATAATTATAACCTTGTATATTTTGACCTAATTCATATACAGTTCTAATTTGTGAACGAGCTATGCCCGTGTTTGTTGGGTCATATCAAAACTTGCGCTGGTTATCTAAAACATGGAAAAGCTTTAAACACTAAACACGACTTCTTGAGCAGGATCAATACTCTTTGAAAGGAAAAAACAATAGGTCCATTCGCAGCTACCCTTTGACAAATTGACATAGCTATGGAAAGCCATCATGTCTATCCATTTCTACTAGGCAAGTCACAAGTACCCTCTGGTAATTTAACGTAGCTATGGAAAATCACCATTTTCAATGGGAAAATCCACTATAAATTGCCATTTTCAATAGCTATGTTGGTTTACCAGAGGGTAAATGGGCCATTTTCCAAAACAATGTTCTGTTACAGTAATTATTTCCCCAACTTCGGTTGAATCCGCGCCTGCTGCCAACTCGCTGGGAACTTCGCCTTGCTGAGGCTGTGGGCTGAAAGTTTCAGCAGCTGGGGTATTTCCACCTTCCAGAAACTCAGATAGGCCGCCTCAGCCAAACAAAATAAGCAGCTGGCGACCGGATGGAAAACCAATAGTATTCCTTCGAAGCATACTAAAGATTTAAAATTCAAATGTTTGTTCCTGATCATTCTGGCGGTGCCCGTATTCCCATGTATTTGCCAAAGATGTTTAATTAAAAGTTTCACATTAAGCCGAAACCAAATGGATAAACTGTGGAATGAGAACAAAAACCCACATGGGCCATGTTTGGATTCCTTGTTACATTTTTGCAGAGCTTAAATGTCCTGCAACATATCCATGGGATGGGTAGCGAAGGTATGTCGTTGCGATCATGATCTATTGTATCATACTCCCAAACCAATAGTCTTCAACTTAGCTGGATGTCGTTCAAAGATTGTGATTATGGTCAAGATTATTTATTACGATTATGTACTAAAAAGTTCTTTCTGATGATTTGATTCTGGTTACCTTCTAGTAAACTAACATAACTATGGAAAATCACCATGTTTAATGGGTAAACCAACTATTTCTATAACCATTTTCAATAGCTTTTTGTTTGTTTACCAGAGGGTACACATGGAGAAACATTGGATCAGCAAATATAAACCACCAACGACCCAACCATCCGAAAAGTTGGGCTGGGCATTTCTTTCGGTGTTTCACGTGTGTCTTTTGTTCAAGGTGTAATGGTCTAACTGCCAATACAACAGAATAAAACATTCCATTCTTAAATATCCCAATTAATCATATCTTAATATATTCATATATATATATATCCTTCTTACTCAATTTTTGTTGCTGATTGATGTTGATGAATATGCCTTGAAGTATGCCGCATTCAGCCAGGCCCATCTTGTAGCCAAGCGGCCCAAGCATCTGCCGGGACTTGACGCAGAAAATCCTTCAACTGCTCCAGTGATCCCAGCAGTTCAGACGTCAGCAGATATGATGCCATCATGCTATGCAGGCTGTGGGGATTACCAGCAAGGCATGTTTAACTCTATCCCAAACAAACAAATCGATTTAAACTGCGTGGCTGGAAAATATGAAGATGCGGATTTCAAATTCTCTGAGCCATGCAGCATCAAAATCTGCTTCCATTCCCTTTTGAAAATGGCTATGTGTCCTTGTCTCAATGGATATACGTTGTTCTACGACGAATCAATGCGCCGTGGACATACGCCCGGTGATTCAAGGCTAAAATCTACGGCGAAATCTGACAAGCTATCGGCTGATATTTCATAGTGATTTTAATTCCAAGGGGAATTTGATTTAAAGGGGTTTTATAGTGATGTAATGGGGTATTATGTGAGCTTACCTTTCTGAAGATATCTCCTGAACTTCATTGGGAATATGTGTGTCTATCTTTCTGGAGACTTCATTTGGCATTCATTACTTTTCAATCTTTCTGCTTTGCTGACTTTATACAATTTGATTTGTAAGATTGGAGACCACTATACCAGCGGATAGTAGTGGATACATGATCAATACTACTTTGATTCAATGCCTTTCAGTCTAGCATCGTAGATCTATAGTAGTTGCTCATGATCCACCACGAAGAAAAACTATTCAAAATCAAAGGATTCAAAATTACCCTAAACCCCAAAAATTAAGACCTGGAACAAAATCCAATGAAATTCCATAATGAGATCCACTATTTTCAGATCTTTTCCTTGGAAAACCACGGTTTTTCCAAGGGCCGAGAAAGCCATATCTTTCGGTCGGCAAACCTGGGCTCCAAACGTTGGGTAAGCAGCTGTGATTCACGAAGACCTTGGTGCCATCAGAGGTGGGACTTCAGCCATTAACAGGCTAGGTTTATACCATAGGTAGGAATATGGGAAAATCAAGAAAATCAAAGGAAAGCCATCAGCCATAGGAACATACCTTAGCAGGCTGGGAAAGACCACAGGAAAATCAATGGGAAATATAGGAAATCTCCGAAATACTGGTGGTTTAGTAACTGGGATTCCACGTGGAATCCAGCCATGGTCGATTTTCCAGTAGGCCATGGTGGAGGCCTCCCTTACTCCCAAAACCCCAACGGCATTGGAGTTGCCATCGCTACAGGTCTACATAACTTTTAATCAACTAGCAAAAGGAGAAAACAACCTGTGATACCATATTAGGGTATGGGGATAGGAAATTGGCCACACGCAAAGTTTTGGGTATGATTGGGATATCAATATGATACCCCACAGGGACTGCTGATGGAGACGTCAAACAAATGCAACTTGGGATTTTCAAAACAATAAACGATCTACCCGCCGGTAATCAGCTCCGTGGCTAGCGAGCCACGGAGCTGATTACCAGAGGCTGTGATACCAGATGGACCATGATCTACCAGGGCATCTAGTGGCTGTCCAGGGCATCTACGTCACGATATGACAATTCCACATGCACTAGGCCAGGTGCTCAGGCTTCGGGAAGCTGAAGAAACGACACCAAAGTGCAGCTTGGCGAATAACCCTGGTCAATTTGTAACCCAAAAAATGGGGGATTTGCTGAAGCAACCACCCAAAAAATGACAACACATTCTCTTAATCATCCTTAATCGATTCCCTAAGTAGTGGATTTGCCAGTGGGAACATTGAACATTATCGAAGGAAGTTTAGAAGTCAAACTTCCGACAATATGGACAGATGAAAAGCAGAGCAGGGCAGAGGCAGAGAGAAGAGAAAGATTGGAAGAGAGAAGAGTAGAAGAGAAAGAGTCAGAAGAAAGAAGATGCAGATGCGCGAAAAGGTAGGAAAGTCGCGAAACACTGTGTTTTTCCAATGATTTGGGGCTCCGGAGGCTCGAAAAGTAGGCTCGCTAAAGCGGCGGGTGCGGAGGCAGCTGGCCAGATGAGAGATGAAAAATTGCACGCCGTTGTGGCGCGAAGCACATTTCGAAGTCAAAATGTACAAAACACACCAGGTCGGACCACTTTTGGAAGTTGCGATGTCGAAAAAGTGCACGCCGTTGTGGCGCGAAGCACATTTCCAAGTCAAAATGTACAAAACACCTCAGCGTCGGACGACTTTTGGAAGTTGAGATGTCGAAAAAGTGCACGCCGTTGTGGCGCGAAGCACATGTCGAAGTCAAAATGTACAAAACACACCATTCTCGGACCACTTTTGGAAGTTGAGATGTCGAAAAAGTGCACGCCGTTGTGGCGCGAAGCACATTTCCAAGTCAAAATGTACAAAACACACCAGGTTCGGACCACTTTTGGAAGTTGCGATGTCGAAAAAGTGCACGCCGTTGTGGCGCGAAGCACATTTCCAAGTCAAAAGTGTTAAAAACTGACGGTCTCGGACCACTTTTGGAGGTTCAGATGTCGAAAAAGTGTCGAAAAAGTGCACGCCGTTGTGGCGCGAAGCACATTTCGAAGTCAAAAGTGTAAAAAACTGAGGGTTTTGAGCCTTTTTTGACGTGAAGATGTCGAAAAAGTAGACACTGATTAACTTAACTAACTTAACTACCCTAACTTCGACGACAACAGCAACAGCAACAGCAGCAACAACAACAACAACAACAACAACAACAACAACAACAACAACAACCACAACCACAACCACAACCACTACAACTACAACTACAACTACAACAACAATAGATCGATAGATGGAGAGATGGAGATAGACAGAGATAGATAGATAGATAGATAGATAGATAGATAGATAGATAGATAGATAGATAGATAGATAGATAGATAGATAGATAGATAGATAGATAGATAGATACATAGAAAATAGATGGGTAGGTAGGTAGATAGCCAGAGAAAGAGAGAGAAAGAGTGAGAGAGATCAAGCACCTTTCAGTGCATCAGTGGCTTCGCTCTGCCATCCCTGATTCACAACAACCAATTTCTCCTATAGGTTTCCTATTTTTGAAACTTCCGCCACCGCCTTGTGCGGTACTACTGGTATTCAGCAAACCCACATAATTGATCAACCAAAATTGTGTGAATTTGGGACTGACATTGAGTGAAAAAGCGGGCGGAATCCTCAATGGTCCCAACCACGATGCTGTAGAAAAATGCAGACACCTGCCCGAAAAAGGGAAGACAAGACACAGGCAAGAGCCACAAACCAGACCTTTCGGTGTCCTCGGTGATGTGGAACTGAGAACCGCATTCTGAGGTGTGTCTGCAATTGGGGATTGATCTCCAAACAAATGCTGATTTCTTTGACAATTATGATTGATCCCATCTCTCCAAGATATATATCCAATATTCATGAATATTCGACACCCCTAAGAGCGTTTAAGATTTGGGGGAAGGGATTAATTACTCTGTAGTCCAGCCAACCGGGCATGTTCGATCACTGGTTTGTTGTTCTCTCCCCGTACCAAATCCGAACAAAACAGGTAGTCATCCTAGTGGGAATGCAGAACCAACAAATGCCAAGTGTCTGGCAATTTGAAGTTTATAAGGACCCTTGAAATTCGTGAAGTCTGTCAGATTTGGCATTTAACGTTCCACATGGTCAATCCAAAATGTTCCAAGCAAAGACCGCAGATCTTGGAACCCTGAAGCAAAGGATTGCCAAACCCATGGGCCAAGGGGCCTATATTTGCTCGTTCGTGCAAGTTTTGCATCCCCATAACACAGGGAGACTGAAAATTCACGGAGGATATAAGCTATATATATATATGTGCGTTACATTGTTTAAAAAAAAATATATATATATAGTATTATATAGTATACTTAGTACAATAATATAACAGGCCGCATATCAAGGCTGGTCTTAGATGATTCCCTGCAACAAAACCCCAATCAAAAAGTCAGAGCGGAAAACATCGTTCGTGCCACTGGATACCTAAAACTCTGATGTTCCTCCTCAAAAAAAATGCGAAACTATTGCAGCATCATATGTGTATGATTTCTATACAGTCTACACGTCCAATTGTTTCTATGTTCCGCCGAGAATCATTCCCCACCTCCAATGGGGCAGCGTTGGGATTCACCAACGGGAGACTGAACCTGGGAAATGATGGCAACATCGAAAAGAACTGTGCAGGCGACAAAGTCCAAAAAAACGAAACATGTTGGTTTGCAAATCCATATGCTTAGATGATGGTTTTTCTCATACGTTCCCTCAAGGCATTCGGAGCATTGTTTAATTGCTGCCAGCACCTCTGCTGGCGTAAGACCAGCTATGAGCAGCGTTCGCAATACGCACTGCTGGTGAGGCGACGCACGCAAGAACAATTTCTTCGTGCATTTTGGCCGCCGTGATGATCTAAACGTAAATTATCATAAACACTCAGGCGGTTGTTTGTCGTATCCATGTTGTCTTAAGGATTCCATAGCTATACATGTTTTCTGAAAAATTGTTCAATTATCGAATCCAACGCCAAAATCTCAAAATTTGGGTTCCTGTTTTTTGAAGGAAAAAAACGGACCCATTTTTTCACAAATTTCCTTCGTGAATTAATATTTTCTGATGGGGTCATATTGAATCAGTCCAACCACCCCAGGAAACCTCACGACGTCAATGGAAACCGTAAGTGGCAGCTGTCTATCCCCAATCTAGTCCCCACCTCATCCCACAGTTCATGGTCACTCTACGATTCACCCCACTAGCAAAATATGTATTTTACATACATATACGGCTAAGGTCAACATATTCTGATCTTGATCAAATTTCCCTATGCCGATCGCCATTTAGGGTTTGTTGGGGGCGGCGAGGAAGGTTTGTTCTCAACTAGCCATTTTGTTGGGGGGTGAGGAGTGGTGATTTTACATCATCGTTTAAACCCTCTTTTAATGTTGGGACGGGTCATTCCAAACCCTGTCCTATAGGGATCCCAGGAGCCACCATGGAAACACAAGGATTCGTGTACTTCGGTTTCACCTGCGAACTCACAACCCGCACGCTCCCTACTAATTGGAAATGTGGTTGACATGATGATTTGACTGACATGATGGTGTGAAGATCGACTCACCATGACCATGAGTCCGTACCTCGGAAGTTTGCTAAATATAAACCTCCTTTGATGAAGATACATCGGACGTGACGCAAATCATTGGCACAGTTGCGCACGGGGAAACCTCGTTGATGCTGCGAATTCATGCTATGCCGCATGCACAAATGATGGCACTTGCAAGAATAATACTTTTAAATGCGAATGGTGCAGCATGAAATATTGAATCAAATTGTGATGACTGCGCTAACATAGAATTGAGCACTGAAGAAACAACTCAAATCTTTAGTTTGTCAAAGAAGAAATAGTTGAGAGAGGAGATTACCGGAGAAGAAGTCCCTCAAACATGAGACACATAGAAGAAGCAGCGCAGTGAAGTAAAACCACCTGTTTCTCATATTCGACCCCAGAACAGGGATAGGGTCATATGCGAAAACATGGGAGTGGGGTCGAATGTCAAATGCGAGATAAATTCCACCCGGCGCACCAACACCTTTCATCCCTGCAGCCACACAACTGGTTGTGGTAGAGGATGTTTCTGGCTTCTTCTAACCTCAGTGGTTTCAGGCGGTGGATGGCATTGACAAGTGCCACAGGCATCACATCCGGTATCATCCGGTGGGCAACAACCGGGAACACCATTCTGCTTCGATGCTTTTACGGATGGGTCATAAGACATATCAGTTGCTTCACTTCGAAATGTTTTACGTGCTGATGTTTTTCAAAACTGGCATATGCACATATCATGCCACTCGTCTGACACAGGTTCTCAAGTTCTCGTCAGTGGAAAAGTTCGGTTTTGCATACTGCGTCCACATGCACAAACGTGTGTATGCAAGACCGCATGTTTTACAGCTACAAACACCTTGGCGGTCAACTTAGCAATAGAATGCCACATGAAGAGAAGAAAGGAAGAGAACCGACTAAGCACCAACAAAAATGGGTATTCCTGGTCACCTACACACCGTTTTACGGAGGAGCCAGGGCCAAAGGACGGCAGCTGATCCAGAGGCTCGTCTCCATCTATAAGATCCTGCGACAAAGTGGCCCCGCAGAAAAAAACAGAGGATGCACCCATAGATTACCAATCCCCGTTGCAGCTTTTGGGCCAAGCAATCCGGAAATCTTAACCGGGATCCAAGGTCAAGTATGGGGGCCTGACTGCTTTGAATTATTGGACGCAGCGCCTGCTTATGTTTTCCCTGAAGGAGTTTCTTAATGGGCGCGCGCAGCAATCAACCTTTTCAATGAACGAGCATGGATATCCTGGGTGTGCAGGATGGACCCTGCGCGCAACCAGATCAAACGTGTGCGCGAAAGTTATCGCAGCGCGGCAAGTCAGCCTTATGCTTTTTGCATGTAACTAAGGGCATCTGCCAGCAGATGCATGAAGAAACCGAGCGTGCACACGAGCTCTTATTATGTCCTTTTCTCTACTAGCATCGTGGCAGGATGAAGCTGTTAAGGATGTGCAAATGTATTGGTTGAGTCCCCTACAGTATCCGCGGAGATAAACAGATCACACATCAGTCAAGTGCAAACATCATTGATATATAGATAATATTATAAAAACAACAAGCATCCTGAAAGAAATCATATGTTTTCACAAAGCACTTCGGAACCAACCTTTGACAAAGCGTTGGAAAGGAGAAATCAAAAGCTGACTTGTCCCGAGGCTCGACACATTCATTGGAAAACCATGACGGACAATATAAGTTTATATTGTTTAAACCATGGTTAAATTGTGTTTAATGTGGTTTTATATGGTTTAAATAATCTTGCGATACTAATGGGATAATCACCGGATAAAAAGGATATAAGGATATATGAATGGGATTTAACATTCGGTGATTAAACGTGGCAATGGGAAAAAAAACTCTATTGATGGAGGTTTTAGATGGTTTTAGATGGTTTTAGTGGGAAAATCATCGAACTAAATGGTGGATGTTCTATTACCATGTTTGATTGCCGAAGGGTACCCCCAAAAAAAACATGAACGGTTTGGGAATATATAACATTTCCGTTGACAGCAGCACCAGGGTCTTAATTTTGGACCCAAACAGGCAAGGGGTGCAGGAAGCACAGTTGAAGACACGTGAGTGAAGTCACATAATTTTTGCACCGGGCAGGGCCAACCAAACAGATTTCAAGAACCCGCTTGCTCTTAAATTCAAGGTGTATCAACGTGAAATTCGAGGCGAATCATCTCAGACATTTTTGGGGAGGTGTGCCTCATTCATGCCACTGCTCCATGAAGTACGAAAGTCATTTGAGGTAAAAGCCTCTATATTGTTTCTTCATATGAAAATGGCCAATAGGATGTCCAATCATGAACTGTGATAATCCCCAATATTTCCCAATCTATTAATATATTTATAATATATATATATAAATAATATATATATATATATTCAGAATAACATCAAAAAAACACATCAACCAACAGGGGTCCAGCTGGCAACTCATCGCCAGGTACTAACTCTTTGTACTCACAAGGGTCTCTCGCGAATCCTTTTGTTTTATCAAATGTTAATAAGGAAAAAACATTTGAAACAACCACAAAAAATCACAATGGCATGTCCTAAACTCAAAACTACCATCTGGGAATCGAACATGGTTAAACATGGTTTTCTCAAAAAACATATATACATATATTCAGTTACATTTCGATGTTTTCCCATCAAAATACTTTCATTGATGAGGATGTCCTATTGCTACGGTTGAATTTCCCAGGCGCTTCAGCAGCTGTGATGGGCCTTGTTGCACCACATCACCATGTGAAGTCCCATTGAAACCACAGTTGATCCCGATATATTCAACGATTACATTGAACATTTAACGATGAAATCCCAATAAGTCACATTTCAATAAGTCACATATCTTTGGATTAACAAGCGCGCCATGTAGTATGTCCAACCTGAAATCTATATTGAAACGAACATGGCTACTATCATCCAGGCATTTCCAACTGGACGCTCAGTGCTGAAAAAGAACGGCCACAAGTTGGGGTATCCACCAGTCTTGGACAAATTCAAATATCATATTACAAATGATGGAAAGAAAACACCTGATTATTGACCATCCAGTTTTTTGACAAAAACAAGGAGGCGTCAAAACAAAACAAGGTCAGGGGATGTTAGGGGTCAAAATGGGTCAAAGAAACACGGGACCCACCATAATTTTCCTTTGATCAATGGCAATTTTGGTGTGTGTCAACCGTTTTCGGACAGACCCAAATACCGCCATGAACAGATCACATCCATGGGTCACCACCAACAAGGGATAACCTACGAAAACCAATCAAATATGCGAGAACTATGCATGTGCATATGTGTTTTTGAACATAATAGTGATTCTTCGTTGATGAGCTTGACTGGCCGCGGCTAACACCTTCCCATATCTTCCCATCATCACAAGGTGGTGCCCCTTAGTTATCTGTGTTTATGAAGCCCATTATATAACTGTAGACCTACCTACCTACCATAAACATCTGTAAACCATTGAATCCACGGATTTAAAGACGAACTTGGCTAAGCAGGGGAATCGGATTGTTGGCAATATATTGAACTACATCATCCCAGCAAGATATCTGCATTATTGCTGGTGGCCCTGGTACCCTCTGGTAAACTAACATAACTATGGAAAATCACAATTTTTGATAATTTTTAATGGGAAATCTCACTATAAATGGCCATTTTCAATAGCTATGTTGAATTACCAGAGGGTACAACCCCATGTTGATTGGTGTAGACCTATCACAGCACAAACGAAGGGATCGCTGCCAAAGCGATGGCTGAAAGATGGCCTCTGGTTTCGCCAGCTGCGCCATACTCAGGGCGGGCATCTGGCGGGACATTCAAAGGATCAGCATCCACTTCTTCTACATTGTTTATAACCTTATCTAACTAAATCTAAATCTATAGACACACATATATATATATATATATACATACATACATCAGTCTTGCCTTCCGATGTCCAAAATATAAACATAAATTATTTGTAGCCATTCATTCAGCACCAATCAAACCAGCCCTATTGCCCTATGGCATTCCCAAGGCCTTCTGCTCCGACTCTGGATGGCCACGGGAGAGGCCTCAGTAAAGGTAAGGACGGCGAATGGCGCTTCAGTGGTGCGCCCTCTCAGTGAAATGTTTGTTTCGTTTCACCATGTTTTGCTGTTTAACCAGTTCGATATATCTACCATAAATATCAACTAACCCAATCATTATTGGGAGCTATAAGTTATATATACCATCTGGTTATTTAATATAGCCATGGAAAATCACCATTTTTAATAGGTAAACCATCCATTTCTATGGGCCATCTATACCATGGCTATGTTAAATAACCAGAGGGTAAACCATCTTGGCGTTCCCATGCCAGGGTTTGCCCACCTAGTACCGCCCATCCCACTCCGGAGCTTCCCCGAACTTCTCGAGCTTCCCCGCTCCGCACGGCTTCCATCAAATGTGCAGAAGTTTCAGCAGCTGCGACCAACTGGGAAGGAAGGTCCTGGCTCGGTGGGCGCAGAGTTTGTTCTTTTGGCTTCGTTCTTTATAACAACTGCCAAGAAGACAGGAAAGTGCTTTCCTACTTAAATAATGATAAATTATATAGGTTTCTAGCTTTTGGATGCTTTTTTGGGGGTTCACTATAAGTCTGAACATGTATGAAACTAGTACTTAACTAAAACATACTAAAACGAGAATCAACCAGTTTGACCCACACTGGAACCCAACTTGGTGATGCCCCAAAAGGTGCGGCCCCACAGTGAATTGTCTGCGTGGGTTTGTTGTTTCAGCCCATTAACGAGTTTGATAGATCTACCGTAAACCATAGTTTACCTAGTCATAATATTTACTAACTTCACTATCCTACACGAGGGCCCCGCCTTGTAATTGTTGGTTTTCATATGTTGTTCATCGTTTACTGGTCAAAATATTTCATAGTCATATCCCACATGAAACAAATATACATTTAAACGTTGTATACCCCCATGAAATCCAAAGTAAGAAGTCCGACTAAAGTTGAGAGTTTAGACATGGCTAAAGACAAATGTTAAAAACTTGATTTAACGGTTTTACTTTCAGAAGGCTCTTGCTAAAATCATATCCAAATAAAACAATAACAAGCATTAACAATTCATGAAAAATATATTTCATAAAGTATATGATGTCACTATGTTTTGCACATGGACATCATAAATAACATTTCCAAAATATATGCATGACAATTCCAATAGTTTCATGAACAACAATAAAACAACATAGTGTGTTCATTTAAAACAACAACATAAAAATCATGAAGCGAACACAATATTCATAAATCACAAAACACATAATGACACTGAAAAAGAGACTATTCCTTAAATGTTGCTTCGGCTTCGCCTAAGTTTTAACTCTCAACATGTTGATGGGATTTAATCCCATTCAATCCTCCATTCATATAGAAAACTCATCGTCCTCGTTGAGACCTGTGACCAACGCCCGGGCATCCACGGATTTAAAGACGAACTTGGCTAAGCAGGGGAATCGGATTGTTGGCAATATATTGAACTACATCATCCCAGCAAGATATCTGCATTATTGCTGGTGGCCCTGGTACCCTCTGGTAAACTAACATAACTATGGAAAATCACAATTTTTGATAATTTTTAATGGGAAATCTCACTATAAATGGCCATTTTCAATAGCTATGTTGAATTACCAGAGGGTACAACCCCATGTTGATTGGTGTAGACCTATCACAGCACAAACGAAGGGATCGCTGCCAAAGCGATGGCTGAAAGATGGCCTCTGGTTTCGCCAGCTGCGCCATACTCAGGGCGGGCATCTGGCGGGACATTCAAAGGATCAGCATCCACTTCTTCTACATTGTTTATAACCTTATCTAACTAAATCTAAATCTATAGACACACATATATATATATATTATACATACATACATCAGTCTTGCCTTCCGATGTCCAAAATATAAACATAAATTATTTGTAGCCATTCATTCAGCACCAATCAAACCAGCCCTATTGCCCTATGGCATTCCCAAGGCCTTCTGCTCCGACTCTGGATGGCCACGGGAGAGGCCTCAGTAAAGGTAAGGACGGCGAATGGCGCTTCAGTGGTGCGCCCTCTCAGTGAAATGTTTGTTTCGTTTCACCATGTTTTGCTGTTTAACCAGTTCGATATATCTACCATAAATATCAACTAACCCAATCATTATTGGGAGCTATAAGTTATATATACCATCTGGTTATTTAATATAGCCATGGAAAATCACCATTTTTAATAGGTAAACCATCCATTTCTATGGGCCATCTATACCATGGCTATGTTAAATAACCAGAGGGTAAACCATCTTGGCGTTCCCATGCCAGGGTTTGCCCACCTAGTACCGCCCATCCCACTCCGGAGCTTCCCCGAACTTCTCGAGCTTCCCCGCTCCGCACGGCTTCCATCAAATGTGCAGAAGTTTCAGCAGCTGCGACCAACTGGGAAGGAAGGTCCTGGCTCGGTGGGCGCAGAGTTTGTTCTTTTGGCTTCGTTCTTTATAACAACTGCCAAGAAGACAGGAAAGTGCTTTCCTACTTAAATAATGATAAATTATATAGGTTTCTAGCTTTTGGATGCTTTTTTGGGGGTTCACTATAAGTCTGAACATGTATGAAACTAGTACTTAACTAAAACATACTAAAACGAGAATCAACCAGTTTGACCCACACTGGAACCCAACTTGGTGATGCCCCAAAAGGTGCGGCCCCACAGTGAATTGTCTGCGTGGGTTTGTTGTTTCAGCCCATTAACGAGTTTGATAGATCTACCGTAAACCATAGTTTACCTAGTCATAATATTTACTAACTTCACTATCCTACACGAGGGCCCCGCCTTGTAATTGTTGGTTTTCATATGTTGTTCATCGTTTACTGGTCAAAATATTTCATAGTCATATCCCACATGAAACAAATATACATTTAAACGTTGTATACCCCCATGAAATCCAAAGTAAGAAGTCCGACTAAAGTTGAGAGTTTAGACATGGCTAAAGACAAATGTTAAAAACTTGATTTAACGGTTTTACTTTCAGAAGGCCCTTGCTAAAATAATATCCAAATAAAACAATAACAAGCATTAACAATTCATGAAAAATATATTTCATAAAGTATATGATGTCACTATGTTTTGCACATGGACATCATAAATAACATTTCCAAAATATATGCATGACAATTCCAATAGTTTCATGAACAACAATAAAACAACATAGTGTGTTCATTTAAAACAACAACATAAAAATCATGAAGCGAACACAATATTCATAAATCACAAAACACATAATGACACTGAAAAAGAGACTATTCCTTAAATGTTGCTTCGGCTTCGCCTAAGTTTTAACTCTCAACATGTTGATGGGATTTAATCCCATTCAATCCTCCATTCATATAGAAAACTCATCGTCCTCGTTGAGACCTGTGACCAACGCCCGGGCACACAGGAGAAGCCTTCCCGAAATGGCACTGCAACGTTTGAGCCCCAAAGATGTGGCTTTGAATGGTGTTTAAAGGGTCCTTGAATGGGATTTAATTCAGCTATAATTCCACTAACAAATTTTGACCAAAAAAAACCATCGATGTAGCTAGTTGAATTAACATCCATTAACATTGATCCAAAATCCTCCAAAATCCCATCTAAATTTTCATCCCACGCCATGTCAATGTAGATCTGAAATCAAGGATCAGGCCAAATAGGGCAGCTGCATGACTGTTTTGGTCCATAGTTCCTAAAACTAACACTTTTAAGAGGGATTTAAATGGATTTCACCAATGGACAACGGGAAAGGGAGAGACCACCAACAAAGAATTGCATGTATATGGCATTTATTTGTATTTCATGGTATTGAACGGCTTTGTAGTCGGATGTAAGCAAACAAAAGGGCAGTTGAATCATCAACGAAAGATATTTTGGATTGTTTGAGCCATGTAGCATGGGATATGGGCTTGTATGAACATGTATAACATGTTAAGAACCCCTCCGCTCTACAAAATTGGAAGCAGGGTACCGTAGGGTGGTGCATCCTACTTTCGAACACCCCAAAACATGGTGGGTCATGTTTTTCTGTTCCCTGAAGATTTTGGTCGTCATGGCTAATCTTGTTCCATAGCCATGTGTCTAGATAACTTTCGCCGCTTAGTCAAAAGTTTCCAAACCAAGCCATCGAACCCTTTCGGGCGACCCTGAACTTGTCTTCTTAATCCCTGAGGAACATCATTCAAGTGATTGAAATTATATGAAATTATATGTAGTCTTCCCGTACAAGTAAAGTGCATCATTTGTGCTAAAAGATTCAAGTATCAAACCAGGGAGTCAACCATGTTGAATTGGATCAACCCTTGCACAACGAACATGTATAGTCAACCATGCAACTTGTCTGTCAATAATATTTGATGGAACATAGGAAAGATCAGGGAACCCAGCAAAAAAACTAAAACGCCAAAAAATGTGTTCAAGTGTATTGTATGATATTATATGTATTACAAATGATATATAGCAATCCCCCCAAAAATAGAAACGTAACTCATCACTCATCACTATTTTGGTTAGTTGTCATCACTTCTAAGGCTCAAATCCGGAATGCTTCACCATCCATATCACCCATGAAAGTGTTGGGTTTGTGTCCATCCGCAATAGACGCTTAACTTATGCATAAAACCCAAACATGTTGGTATATTAGTCTACAAAGAACCATAAATTGCCATCAACTCTATGAAACTATATTAATATATATTAATATAATATATTAAGATATATTAATTAAGCATTGTTATTGTTTATCTGCATTCAGCACCAAGAAAACACACATATTTCTACAGCTAACTAGTCAACGCCATGAGTCTTGACCATCCATTTCTCACCCATTCCATGGCCTTCCCTTTGCAACGTCTTCGGTCACAAATAGACCTCGCCCTGAGGTGCAGACATGTTGGAAAAAAAAACTGTTCCCGCAGCAGAAAACCCCGAATCATCTTTGGTATTGTAGCTGATTGGTTTCAAATTGCTTTGCTGCATTTCGGGGCAGCATCTACATTCTCTACTGTGTTCCATCCAAAAAAATATATGTAAATTATCACAACAGTTTTTGTAGCAGCCACCCCTCTTGGTAGCGCAGGTTCTGTCATGGTCCGTTTTCATATCCCACTTTCGGGGGTTCCTCCACTACTCCCAGCTGCACGCGAGAAAACGCCGACCCGCCGGCCTCGTTCCGGACTGTATCCCACTCGCACCTCGGATGATGGAAAAAAGTTTGCGACTATGGTGCCCACAGTTATGGCCCTTTACCAGTTATAAGTACTTATAACCCCATTTATAGAATGTATAATCCCATTTACAACCAGTTATAACTAATAAATGGCCATAACTGCAAACACCATAGTTGTCATGGGAAAGAGACAGAAGAGATTATTCGTATCTATCATTTAAAATTCATTTAAATGTTGTTGACGGTTGTTGCCAATCGCTGTAATTGTCACCGTGAAGACTTCATTTGCCGTGGATGCCCATCGAAAAAACAACTATGGACTATGAGTTTGTCTGAAGATTGGATACCTTATCCCAGTAAAGGGGCCATTTTGAGGCATCCCCCAGTTTAAGACACAGCCGCACACACACACACAATTTGAGTACGGGTGAGTTTCTTCTCCCATCCTATCCCTTTCCTGGCTTGGGACATTCGTAGGTTTCGACACCCCCAAGTGAGCAGTAACAAAAGCCTATGGGAAAATCCCTCAAACATTGTTCAAAGCTACAGACCGACAAGATTAGAGATATGAAAGGATATCTAATATGGTATACACCATTACTGTAGTGGTATCTAATGTGCCCTGATGGTATACACCATTCCTGATACAAATTCAAAGCCGAAAAAATATACCATCAGGGCATGCACTCACTGGCATTAAGGCTCAGGTGATAAAGCCCAATCTAGGTACAACCTCCAAGAATCACTAAATCAACTATCAATCAACCATGGTTTATCAATCGTATCACTATATATATATATATATGTATATTATATAACATATTATATTACATATTACATGTGATATATTAAATATTATATATTATAAATGATATATGATATAAAATAAATTATAAATTATAAATTATATATATTATATTATATATTATATATTATGCATTGTATATTATATATTATAAATGACATATCATATATTTGTATGCTATATGTTATATATAAACTATTATATATTATTTATTATATATTGTTTATTATATATTATATATTATTTATTATATATTATATATTATAAATGATATATCATATATTATATATTATATGTTAAGTTATATTATATATTATATGTTATATATAGTGTATATTATAAATTATATACTATATATTATATTATATTGTATTATATTATATTATATTATATTTTATATTATATAATATTATATATTATATTTTATATATACTATATCATATTATATCATATCATATCATATCATATTATATTATATTATATTGTATCATTTTACAATGTATATGATTGTAAAAAAAAAAAAAAATCAACTTATGGAAGGCCCGTGGAGTTATGTTTGTATTTTGTCTTTTTTAAACCCCTTCTAACTAGTTCAACACATACATTAGATGTCATAAGATGTCATAAGTCTGACACTTAGCCCATTCATTTCCTTTAAAATCACCCTGAAATTCAACGAAATTCCGATTGGACCCTTGGGGCCACAGCTGGGCCAACATAAGGCTCCACGTCCAAGGTCGCAATGAGACGATCCTGACAGCATCTTTTGTTGGTGAAATTTGAAAGGTGAAATTTGAAAGGGGATTTGAAGCTTTTGTTTACTCATTTCCTTCGGACAAATTCATGGATTCTAATGACTAATATAAAACAATATAATATAATAGAATATAATAAACAATAAATAATATAACACAATATAATCTAATATAATGTAATATTATATAATCATATGAGTGGCGGAAAAAATACTTACTACCCGCAATGGACATGGCTAAAGTGGGTGGTCCCCTATCGGTTGTGAAGGTTTGTACTTCCATGCTATCTGCAAAAATAGACTATCGGTAAGTGGGTCGTCCCGTATCGGTTGTAATTTTTTTCGCACAAATTTGAACATCCCATGTCCACTCCCCACTACTTTAGTCTTCCGCTAATTTTGTCGGCTACTCACTACTCCATGAAATATGGAGGCCACGTTCCAGTTGCACAAACAGGTGGCTGTGGGAATGTTCCCTTAAGTTGGCGATTTGTCTTTGGGAATGGCCGGCACAAAAAACCCTGAAGTGAGAATATGCACGCCTCTGCCTGGAGCAAGAACTTCTCCATAAGCATATCAATATGCATATATGCATATATGCATATATATAAAGGTCTACTATAGGTTAAACATCTTGTGTTTCTTTCTCCTGCTTTTTTTGGGACTGGGGACAACAATAATAATTTGACTATACCTGTGCTATGTATTGGACAGCATGAATAATTCATCTAGTAATCTAGTAAAATACCAAAAATACCAATGCAAAAATCGAATCCATTCTTGATGCATTCATCTGGGCGGGTTGGAGTTCCCAAAAACAATCTTGGGCTGGTTTCCCCTATAGAAACACCCAAACAAACGTTGAAAAATTGGACAGAAATGATGGTTCCGGACACATCATCTTTCATCACATCCTGGTACCCTCTGGTAAACTAATGCTATTGAAAATGGCCATTTATAGTGGATTTTCATGGATTTTCCCATTAAAAATGGTGATTTTCCATAGTTATGTAAACGTTTACCAGAGGGTAACGCACACGTTTCATCACCTTTCGGCATTCTCTTGGGGACCCAAACAGCCCCAAACATCAACCAACCAGCACCCGGCAGCACCTCAGCCATGACTTCGCACTCACTCTCGCACCTGGCAACCACTCCACCAATGTGGGGCCCTTTATAAAGAACAAATACAAGAGATGCAATACATTCCACCAAGGTTTCGTTGAAGGTGGGGGGATGGGTCAAAACCCTGGTACCTAGTGAACCCCAAAATAGCTGGTAAATGGATGTTCATCCCACTAAAAATGTATCTATAGGTATTGACCCATACCCAAATGAGAATGGGATCAATCATAACTATGACTGTCAATGAGAGCTACTGGAAAAATTCCGTGAAATATCGCCAAATGCAACCCAGCTTTGCCCAGTCCAGCGTTCCAGGACTTGGTTAAGCTTTGGATCTCTTCGGGCTTAGCCAGGGCTGAGATTGGACTTCTCAGTAAGCTCTAGGCTCGCTGAAGGACGGATATGGTGATTTTTTATCTACGATTATGGCCCTGATTATGGCTGGGTTTAAGACCTAGCTCATACCCCATAGGATCCATGTATGGTATATATGCTAACATTTGGGGTATATTGATGGTAAATGTTACCATATATAGCATACATGGATCCTATGGGTACTAACAAGAATTCTCCATCAAAATCCAAACGGGAATCCCACTGAGACCCAACGACACCATCCCCAGCGTGTCGTGTCTGGTGTCGTGGACGGGCGCCTCGACTTTTCCTTGACTTTTCCCTTGCTCTTGGCCTCAAGGATAGGCAGCCAGGGGGGAAGTAGCTGAAGAAAAAATAACTAGTATCAGATAAGTCCTGGAGTAAACTAACATAGATGTGGAAAACCCATGGGGAAACCCGTTCGGAAAATGATGTGTAAATGGATGTAAATGGTGGGTTTTCCCCATCTATGTTGGTTTACAGCAGGGCAAGTCCTGAATTCAAGCAGTGTCAGGACTCTAGTGACCAGTTGAATCACTAAGTCGCAGCAACACACTAACTTTAGTGGCTCAACTCCTCCACTATTGCATGTTCTAAATACTAACTGCTATAGGCTCATCAAAATTAAACACCCGACAAACCATGCTGCCCAAGAATTACCTTTAAAAAAAAAGTCAAAACAGTTTTTTACAAAGTGAGGCCCCCAGTTATGTTTGTTGCTTTACAACCCACACTAACTGTTATATTCCCCATAAATAAACCCAACCGTTCACCAAGTTATGTGTACCAACTTAGCTATGGCAGCTATGGTTGGGGGGCCCACCTTGCCAATGCAGCTGGGGAACCACCGCCAATGGTCCTGTCTCGAAATATTTCTGGTAGACCTGGCGTCAAATGTGGTTCATAGAACTTGCTTCAAGTGTCCGGCCTTTTTTGGCGGGCTCCAGTGTGTATACATATATATATATATATTATATTATGACAACTAGAAATAAATGGTTATAAATATATATATATATACACACATATGGGTGTTGATATGTGTTGATCAACAGTCTGGCATAACCCCATGTAAGTGGCTTGTGTTGGGATATAATCGACTGAGCATTTTGATGTGACAACTTGTATCAACAGAAATACAATCTCAACCCGGAAGCGCAGTTGGTCTTGGAACAAAATAACATGCTGAATCATGCTGATCAAAGGTCCTAGCCTAGGTGGGTTATTATTAGATATCAATGGATACCATCTAACTTGCTAATCAATGAAATCTGAAACGTCAATTCATCCCTCTGTTCCCAGTAATCATTGCAAGCCTAAGGGCCAGCTCTACGGATGGTTTGATCCCCTGCCAACAGTTTCACCAACTTTTTTCTGGTAAAAACTCGAGGTGCATCCAGTTATAATTGTGTTACATTTTTGGAGATATATTTAGAAATCATAAATGACATACTTTCTGTCTGTACTTACAAAAATAGGAAATTAACCACCACAAAGTTAGCATCATAGATAGTAGCTATAATGAACAGTTAACTACTATGGTTAGTATGCCACACAGAACGGCATCAACTTTTCCAAACCAAAAGTAGCGCCTGCAGCCAGTCGTAGCGCCCCTCGGACCCTTCGCTCTGGCGTTTCAGCACCGCTCTCAAGGCTAGCTGCACCTCATGGTTGAAGGAAATGTGGTTCTCCTAACATCTAACCTGGGAAAAAACCATGGGATCTCCAATTTTCATGGGATCTCAGTTTCTTAGGTTTTATTGTACCCTCTGGTAAACTAACATAGCTATGGAAAGATCCACCATGCTATTAACGGGAAAATCAACTATTTTGACTGGGCCATTTTCAATAGCTACGTTAAATTACCAGAGGGTAATAATGATGTTCTTATGGTAGAGATCATGTGGATCGCATTCGCATACCAATCTTGCAATGCTTCTGGTGTCACGGGGGATGGTTCATGATTGGGTCTGTGCGATCGTAGGATCTAGCCCATGAACATGGATATGTGTCACCACTTCAACCTGGAATATGATCATAAACCATGATATGAGGTGCACCATTTTCAGACAAACCCTTTTTTTGTTCCAATATATATATATAATCCAATATATTGATACGAACAGTATGATCCCTCATAAATCATCAACCAAACACCATTTAGTGTAGTGACCTTTTTCCAGCAACAGAGTGAAGTGTCCCTTTGGTGTCTTGGCTCGGCTGAGAAAGCAACGGTTTGGCACATCCACCATCGACATGATGTACAACACGACAGCTCATCGAAGGGAAAGTCATGTTGCACCATCTGATTTTCCAAGGTTTAAGCTTCCTATGGATCTTGAACTTCGCAGAGTACGCATCTTTGGAGGTTTTCTCATCAAGAAGTGAAGTATGACAAGGAGAAAACTGCACAGGCAAAAAGTGCAACCTCAGGATCACGCAAGGCAACACATTGAGTGCGGATTTGATCCTTCAAAATTGCCAGTCTTCTTTTCGTCCCAGAACTGAGTCACTGAGTCTGCTCAACGCATAAAAACCACTTTCGAAGGTGACCAGCACGGTGCTCGACTATATCAACATCCCCATATGATGGCCAAAACCTCCATATGATGGCCAAAACCTCCAATATATCCCATATATAAATATATACCAAATATATCCCATACATATCCCATATATATATATATATATCCCATATATATCCCATATACAGTATATCCCATATATATCCAATACATATCCCATACATATCCCATATATATCCCATATATATCCCATATATATATATATATATCCCATATATATCCCATACATATCCCATATATATATATATATATCAGATATAAATATATAAATATATAAATATATATATATATACCATATGTATCACATATATATATATATATCCCATATAATATATATATATATATGTCCCATGCATATTCCATATATATCCCATATATATACACCAAATATATCCCATACATATCCCATATATATATATATCCCATATATATATCCCATATATATATCCCATACATATCCCATATATATCCCATACATATCCCATATATATATATATATATATCCCATATATATCCCATACATATCCCATATATATATATATCCCATATATATATCCCATATATATCCCATATATATCTCATATATATCCCATATATATCCCATATATATCCCATATATATCCCATATATATATATATATATCCAATACATATCCCATACATATCCCATACATATCCCATATATATCCCATATATATCCAATACATATCCCATACATATCCCATACATATCCCATATATACCCCATATATATCCCATATATATCCCATATATATCCAATACATATCCCATACATATCCTATACATATCCCATATATATCCCATATATATCCCATATATACCCCATATATATCCCATATATATCCCATATATATCCAATACATATCCCATACATATCCTATACATATCCCATATATATCCCATATATATCCAATACATATCCCATACATATCCCATATATATCCCATATATATCCAATACATATCCCATACATATCCCATACATATCCCATATATATATATCCCATATATATCCAATACATATCCCATACATATCCCATAAAAGCCATGCATCATCAACACCACCAGGGGTAGATCGGTGCCACCTCCGCCCTCCAACGGGGCACATCTGCATCCTCCGGTCGTCGTTGCAGCGCTTCCCCGAGGGCCTCCTGCGCCTCTGAGAGACGCCCCAAGGCGCTGAGGGCAACGCCCAGGCGGTACCTTGGGGCAAACATGGCCTGGAAATCCCACACAACAGGTGATCAAACAAATAGCAAAACATACACATAAAACAAACACACACATATATATATATATATTATATAATATATATATAATATGTATATAGAGCTTTCCCAAGCCATGGTTCCTTTGAAATCCTCCAATTTGGGAGATTTTCCAATCCCTAAATCCATCCTGTTTCGGGGTACCAGCCCTATGGAAAGCTCCATAACTCGTCCAAGATGCCAAGCTTTGGGGTTCTCAGGGTCCAAGGCGCGTGCCGCCTGCGCATCCTGGGATTGACTTTTGGTCGCGTTGGAGTGTTGACATTGTTCAGATAGATATAGATATAACATGTTTTCCATATGTATATATATATATATAGTGAGATAGATAGTCACATTGGATTGTTCATATATATGTAAATAATTGTAAATATAAATATGTATATATATATATAGATATTGTTACCATAATCTATAATGTGGTTCCAATGCCAGAAAAAATAGAATTATATATATATATATATAGATATTGTTACCATAATCTATAATGTGGTTCCAATGCCAGAAACAAATAGAAAAAATGGATAATATAAACCATCCGCAAATAGTATATATAGGATGAATATTGGGTTTCCCACATTAGTCACATAAGAGAGAGATATAGATATAAATAGCTCTTATATACTGGTAGTGACAATGATCTAGCACTACTGAACACCAGAGTGGTTACATAATGTATGGCAAAACTGAAATAAATGTATACAATGATGATGAAAAAACATAGTAAGCAACTCACATCCAACAAAAACAA